TGGCCCCACTAACACCTCTTCCAGCAGCAACCTTAGTTTTTCCCAGGAGGTCTCTCATCCAGGTACTGACCAGGCTCACACCTGCTTAGCTTCAGAAGGGAGGGCCTTTTAAAAAGTTCAAGACAAATAGAGCATTTTGTCTGATTCAATAAAATGTTATTCATCAGTTACTGTAACTCTGAATCTTTGTCTTCATCAGGCATTTCATCTGTTGTATTGGATTGTCGACTGGGGTGCCTAGAGGCCAACATTCCTAAAGAAACTCAAGAGTTTATCAGTGCTGTTAACACTATGTTGCAGATGTCTGCCATAGTCCCTGTTTTACCAGAATGGACCAGGCCTTTTCTTCCATTCTGGAAAAAACACAATCAGGCCTGGGATACCATGTTCAATTTTGGTAACTACTTTATAATACTGTGTATAGTATTGTATAACCTTTTTGGTAAAATACCTTCCAATACAAAGACATGTTTTGATAATGGTCTATGTGGTCAAGTATAAAATAAGACAACACATAGTCCTTATTAACAGTATAAATACAGTATGTAAATTAAACACTTTATTGCTCCTCAGTATACCTGCAGTCCATTGTATATGACCAAAAGATTCTGCATGTGCAAAAACAGCATTAGCAGGATAATTGGACACTATACAGAAACATAGGAATGGTTGCAAATGACAGGAGGCCATTCAGCCTGCATACTTATTTGGAAGTTGAGTAGCTAAGTGATTCTAACACTTGGTGGTATTCTCAAGGAACTCAAGGTTCTCAAGGAACCTAGCTATTGCAAATGTTACTCAATGCTAGGATAAATTACAGTGTATATGTATCAAGGACTTATTCATCATCATTTATACGTAATGTTTAGTCTTTTTACAGCGAAGGAGACAGTTTTCTGAAACAGTATATGAAAGCAGGATTTCAACCCTGATTTAAAATGTAATGAAAACAGTCTAACATATCCATAAGACATTGTCTTGTCTGCTGTTGTTTTAAGCCAAAAGAAAAGTTGATCAAAGGTTGGCAGGTCTTCAGACTCAGCTTGAGAGAGGGGATCCTGTTGAAGGTGATTACCTGACTTATTTACTGAAGTCTCAGGAACTGACTCAGTCAGAGATCTACAGTAGTGTCACTGACCTCCTGCTGGCTGGGGTGGATACTGTAAGTATTGTACACTGAGTATTAATCAATTCCTTTGCCTGCAATGTGCATTTTTTTCAGCACTATTAATAGGATTACATTATTCCCACTGGAGACAACAACAATGGCAAACCTTCTCAGACCATTGAGCGAAGTGACCAGCAAAGTGTGTATAAAGTCCAAAACAGTACCTTAATAAGAAACATCAGCAAAAATACTAAAAGGCCTCTTTAATTGAGCAATAATTACACAGTCCTGAAAAAATCACCTTATATATATACTACTTTTTATCCTATTTTCTTGTATGTATTTTGTGTAACATTATACATTTTTGCAACCATGTGGAAAGGATGGAACAACTAACTTTGAAGAAAAATCTTATAATTAATAATAGAACTGAAAGTATAATTCATAGATGTAAAAGGAGATAGAAATAGAGTACTTTTGTTCTTTTAACTAGTAGGGTTATACTATAGAACAGTAAGTATAATGGTTACTAAACATGCTACAGCTTGAGGATAATAAAAACCTGACAAAGGTATTCACCCCCTGCATAGTTTTCACATTCTGTTATTGTGTGAGCATGCAGTCAGGACACTTTCAAATAGGACTTTATTTTTTATAATCACAATGTTTTCCAAACTGATCAAGTTATAGTATGCACATCATTTATATTTTTTAAAATAACTTAAAGGTGCTTCCTCAAAGTACTGACTTAGGGACTGAATATGTACGTTTGATCACTACCATTCTGAGCAAAAAATAATTGAAAGTATATGTAATTCTTAAAATGATATTATTGGCAGGGGATTTGCAAGGTATTGTGTATATACTGTATATATAAAATGTTGAAAACCTCTGTTTGTTGTATTGCGTTGAAAACATAATACAAAACCACATATGCATAACATATTAGTTTACAGTAATATGTTGTTTGATGTCAGAATATGCTTCAAGGCCTTTGTTTTCCCTGTAGCCTGACCATTTAAATGTCTCTCTATAAAACCCAGACTTCTAATACACTGACCTGGGCTCTCTACCACTTGGCAAGAGACCAAGAGTTACAGAACTCTGTCTACAGAGAGGTGTCCGGTGTCATTCCTGGGGACCATATTCCTAATGCAGTGGACCTGGAAAAAATGCCACTGGTGAAAGCAGTTATTAAGGAAGTGCTAAGGTACTGTATCTGTTGCCTCGGGAGGCATCTTTGTTATCATTGCCTTAAAATGGGGTAATGTGTGGTATCATGAAACATTCAACAAAACTGAAATGTGTTTAAACAAGGCAACTCTTGTCTTCCCAATATTAATTTGCCCTGTAACAAAAGCTTGCTTTCATTACACTTTAAGTTCACTGATCACAGAAGGACAATTTTGCAGTATAGTATAAACTATTACTAATGATTACTAGTGTAAAAAGTGATTTTTTGTGTATGGATTATTAGTACCATTATTTCCATCTTTATTTTTTCAACATAGTCAATTTTTATAGAAATGTTTTCTTTGGGTCATATGTGTTTGTTATTTTCTGAGAGTCTAATCTTCTGAAGTATCAAAAACTGCAGTTAAACACTGAAACCTAATGTACAAAGAAAGCAGCAGTACAAATAAAACAAGAACTTGAAGGGATGTCTTCTTAGAGTTTTGATCTGAAGTCCGATCATTTTTGTCTCTTGCTTTAATGTTGTATTTTCATTTAGAGTATGTCTACCTATATTAACCCATGTTGGAGAATTACTGCCTGTGTTTGCCAAAGGCAAGTTTTGTTTTTACATGTCTTCTGTATTGATTGTATTGCATTTAAATCTTTGTTTAACCTTTAGGTTGTATCCTGTGGTTCCTGCAAATGGCAGAATTCTCCAAACGGACCTTGTTCTTGGTGAATACTATATACCCTCTAAGGTAATCTGGTTTTAATGTTTTGTTTTTATAAGCGTTTTCATCAGTTGGCACATCGATTCTAAACAATGGTTAAAGAAATAGATATGTTTTGTAACAGGGTAGCTGTGTAATCATATATGCAGGAGGATATTAGGGGATTGGCATCGGCTCTGTGCAGCCAGTGTCCTATGTAGTGAGTGAACAGTCATGGTTGACGCAGGAGAGTCAGAATCTCTCTACCAGGTGTGGCAGTGGGGAGCCGGGTCTCGCAGACAGACACACAGAAAGTGAAAGATCTAAAACCCATCAGGGGGACGGTTCCCACAGCAATCATGGAGGATTTTACAGACAGCCTGTTCTAAGGTTGAGCGAGAGAAAAGACAGAGGCGTATATGTGCTGTATGTACTGCACAAGTACTTATTCGCACCATTCTCTCTGGACATGCACGGTGCAATAGACAGCACTACACCGTACAGACAATACTTTACCAAATAGAAAATAATAAACAGTGACAATATGTACAGTATGTATAAACAAACAGGGCTACCTGAGTAAGAACTACGTGAGACCAGGGCTAAGTAGAGCGGTGAGTTGTCTGTTTGAGTGACATGGTGTAGCAGCTCGCCGGTAGGAAGACGACAGATGGAGCAAGACCGGCCAAACAGCATCAACGGGGGTGAAGTGTCTGCTACTGCTACATATATCCTGTATGCAAGGAGGCGGACCTGTATGGGAATCCTAATTCTGTGTGCATGGTGGACTGATGAGCAAACGTAAGTCCGCTTCGTATGTAAAGATGTAGGTAATCGTGCAGTGATGTAGCCCAATTCCCCCATATCACTGCCAGTCACGGTTTTGTTTTTTGTAGTAGGAGTCCGGTTTCACAAGATACACATTATGTACTGTATCTAACTTTTGATACTGTAAATGTTTTGCTATTTATTGAGGGGGATTTAAAAAGTGTCTTTTTATTTAATTGAAGCTGAAACATTTGCTATTGCAGGTTTTCATGGTTCTCTGTCACTACGCTGCTTCAGTGGAAGAATCACAGTTTCCTGACCCTCTGGCATTCAAACCAGAGCGATGGATTAAAAAGGAACAGGGGAAGAAACCACATCCCTTTAGCTCAGTTCCTTTTGGATATGGAGTACGAGGTTGCTTAGGTCGTAGGATAGCAGAGCTGGAAATGTACCTGGCTTTATCAAGGGTAAATACAGCGCTTGGCTTACCTACCTAATGCAGAAACAAATTCTTATATACATTATAAAGTGTTTTTTTAATGTGTGACCTGAAGCATTGTGATTTCACATCATATTATATCAATTTCAAGTTACAATTATTTTATGATGATTTTTTTATTTCACAGTATAGATGAATCATTTCAAAAGCTATAGTGTTTAAGGTGTATTTAAGGGCTTACATGCAGTGCATCTACTAAAAACAACCATGGGATAAAATGATGCCTTTTTGTTTAAAAAAATGAGGATAATATAATTTCTTGTTCAAAAGATTACAATAATTTGTATAGCACCTTCAGACTGGAACCAGTGAATATTCATTTGTTATATTACGCATGAGTTTGTAATTTTTGTTTTCTCTGTTTCTCTTTTCTAGCTGGTTAAGAACTTTGAAATCCAAACAAATCCAAAATCCAAACCTGTCAATCCAAAGACCCGAATTTTGATTGTCCCAGGAGCTCCTGTCAACCTTGAATTTCACAATCGAAGCTCTGTGGTTTGACATTCAGAAAGTATGTTAACTGAATGCCTCGAACACCAACACTAGGCATTCTGTTTATGGAGTACGCTTGACATCATTTTACAAATCCTTTAAAATAGTTATGGTTTGATAAAGGCAATAACATGTTATGATAAGAGGTATATAACTGTTTGTTAAACTGCTGAGTGAAAAAATTGGCTATTTTATTCAGTATTTGCAAAGGAAGGATTCTGGTCTGACAATAACCAGAGGTCGGTCAAATAAAAAAGTTTGGTACCCACACAGTAAAAGCAGTACACAGCAACATAAAGGATCTGTGCACATACTGTACACATTTGTCTCACCTTACCTAACAGTTGACAATTTCTCAGAGGTATACTATTTTCTGTCTTAAATAATATTTTGTAAAATGTGCTAAAGCAATTATGCATGACATTTGGAAATGTTTGTTACAAATATATACTGTACAACAGGACCAAAATGATGAATATTAATATAAATTAACCAGTAATTGTCTGTTTGCAGGTTAGGAGAAAACAAAAACATTTCATGTTCATAAAGCAATAACACTCTGCACCACTACAAAATAGATCTTGCAGTGCAAGGGGCTTCCAGATGTGCTTTTTTGTAAAGCATTTTATAACAATACCTGGTAAAAGTGAGTGGTATTTATGCAAGTGTTCTATTTCACTCTGCCAGTTTGCTCTAGAGATGAAGTAAACTATAAACAGCTATTGAGGTGAAGCAAACAGTGATTAGAAATTGCATGTTGTGTCCCTAGGGCCCCATCATTTTCTTATGCTCCAAATCATGTTCAAAGTGAGTAATAAGAAGGATGGGTACAGTGTATGTGCTTATTTACTGCTTCATACCATGCTTTTTAGTGCAACATACTGTACATCATAACTAAGTGCCTTTTTTCTGTAAAAATAAACAACCTTTTCAAACTCACATGGGATAAAAATAGCTGTTTCCCATTAACGATAGCACACAGCTTCTGATTAGGCATCTGAGGTTGAGTCCAGGGAGTCAAAGGATAAAAAATGAAAATGCAATTGCTTGAGATTTAATTGCTCAAGTCTTGGGGTGATGGTGGTGGGGGTGGGGGAGAGGGATTTAACTATTGCCCTTTATGAGTGTTTCTTAAGTAGAAAAAATCAGCTTTGGTTCATTTGCAGTGCACCTACAGGGGTTGTATTGGGTCCTGGTGAGGCCTTTGAGTTTAGTTATGTAACTAATTAGCAGTTTGCTTTGATGGTGTCTTTGCTCTGCCATCATAAATAAATCCTCCTGGGTTAAGTCTGTCTGGGCAAGATGTATTTGTGTTCTTCAAATCTCAGCTAGTAATAAGGAGAAAAAAACCCAAAAAGTTTGGTCCGGTTCAAAAGCCTACCCGAATGGGGAATGTTTTATGCCCATACCAATACCTGTAAGAGAGCTCTACTGGTTTAAAACATAAAAAAATCAAACATTGTAAAAATCACATGCACATTCTGAATTTTAGTTTTACAATGAGTCAGTCAAATCCTGGTCTTAGAGAACCATGTGCCAACAGGTTTACAAGGACTATCGAAACTGCACCTGAAGTACAGTAATGATATTTAATAATAAAAGTCTTTATACTTATGTAGCACTTTTATGGACACTCCACTCAAAGCTACTCTTTTCAAAAAACACCCTGGGATTTTTAATGACCACCGAGAATCAGGACCTTGGTTTTACATCTCATCTGAAGGATGGCGCCTTTTTACAGTGTAGTGTCCACGTCACTATACTGGGGCATTAGGACCCACACAGACTGCAGGGTGAGCGCCCCCTGCTGGCCCCACTAACACCTCTTCCAGCAGAAGCCTTAGTTTTTCCCCAGGAGCTCCCACTAAGGTACTGACCAGACTCAAACCTACTGAGCTTCAGTGGGTTATCAGTTGTGAATTGAAGGGTGATAAGGCTCCAAGCCAGTAGTTTGATTGTTTCTATTTATTAAGGCAACAATGAGCTGCTAAAGGCCATTTTGAACTGGAATTATATCTTCTTGCAGTCATTGAACGAGTTGTTTCTCTTATGAAAATGTTTTAGTTTAAGTATCATATTCTTTTTTGGAATACTTCTGGAGTTTCCTCTTAATATTCCTTGTACTGTATGTCAGCTGTTTGATTTCGAAATTATAACCCCAAACTGACCTGGGAGAGCTGAAGGCCACACAGAGTACTTTGAGATATGCAATTAAACAGTTCACTTGTTTCTCAAACATCCAAACCAGAAGACAGAAGAAGCTGATAATGACAGCACATGGTCTCATAACATTGCCATTTGAACTCTATTGTAGACATTTCATTTACATTGGTGTTCTGTTGAGGCAACACAGTGAAACATTTTTAAAATGCAGTTAATACTACTACCCTCGTAATTTCATATTCCCATTTTTCTAGCCCAAAATATCCTATGAAAGGCTTATTTAAAACAAAATTAAAGTTAAGAGATGTCTTGCACAATTTTTAACGGACTTCATATGAGCAGCCAGCCTTGACGTGGCTTATGGTAAACTATAATTGCATGTCTTTTTCATTGATTGTAGCGGTACACGATATGCTCGTTGCCTCAATTTTACATTTGCATTTTTTCTTAAATCTTTGTCGTTAAGAAGTAGGTAACTTCTATGTTAAGAACACACATTGAGCAAATATCAACATGTATGTAATTAATTACAATATGTAATTAAAAAAACGAGATGTTATTAGGAATGAGATATTGCCGGGTTAACAGGTTTTCAATCGAACGTTTTCATTTATATAGCGGAATTGTAACTTGCATTTCACATTTTTAATAGAAAAGCACTTTAATGTCTTTGCACAACGTGTTAAACTCGGGTTTTCACTAATAACAGGTAGCCCGCTAGCGCACACTGCACAACAGGGCATTTTGAAGGGAGGTTGTGTGCCTACCGCCGCACGTAAGCAAAGCTCTGAAGAACAGCGGGTGCCCTGTCTTTTGGTAAAGTTGAATTGCCTCCGGATTCCGATGAGTCCATACTCGCAGCCTGCAGCGAAGTAAAGTGTGCTTTGGCGAAGAAAGGGTTGAGTCTTGTCCCTGACGTTTAACGTAGGCGGAGCTCAGGGTGGGTGACACGTAAGTCCTGAGAATGTAAGAATAAATCTGGTGGAGAAACACCAAACGTCCCGTCTGTATGTATTATCTGTCTCTGAAGTTTTGCATTGCCTAGAGGATTTTCAAAACACTGCTCTACTTCTGAAAAACAAAACCGGGAGGACCCACGTGGGAGCTGAATTTCCTAGCCTTGCGGTTTTAGGTCTGCAGAAACAATGAGGTTTTCCATGCTCTTTTCCCTGAGCGGGCCGATTGGGCCGGTTGTTATCGGGATCTCTTTGGGGTTCACCTTGAGTCTGTTAAGCGTGACCTGGGTCGAGGAGCCCTGTGCCTCCGTTGGGAAGGGAGGTGATGAAACTGTCTTGACTCAGGAGGAGAAGCTGAAGGGAGCTCGGAAACCCAACTCGATCCCCGCTGGCAACACAGAAAACGGTGATGCTCTGGAGGATTTTGAGCCCAGAATTGTGCCGTATAAACCAGTAAAACAGCAAACTCAACCCAAGAAACTCTTCAGGTATGACCGAATTGGTGTCTCATAGGCCTGTGAAATTAACCATTAGTCCAGCCAAAGTGATGCTTGTTAATAATTCATTTTATATTATACATTGGATCTGCGGTATAGTACTTCAGTATACCACCACAGCGTTTCTCTTGTCTCAGTATTTCGGATTTCTGATATGAATGACCCATTCAGTTTATTTATGTTTATTTATATCCTTATTCAACGATTTCCTGAGAGACTGAATCCTTAGAGCCGAATTTAGCTGTGGTTTACGATTGCAGCTTTTTACAGTGGGCTACAGTGTGTGTGCTGCTAGATAAAGAGCGAAAGTAAATCTCATTAAATTCATAATTATTCAGTAAAGTTTTACTGTTCCTGAGACAGTAGAATGGTGAAACAAATTTTATTCTACGTTTTCTCGTATTTTCTGAAACGAATTGAGGTTTTACTTTCATAGACGGTTTTGCAGTAGTGGTATGGCAAGTCACAAGTACTGAATATACAGTATCAAGATATCGAAAGTCTCAGTCAAACTCGTAAAAACATCAGGGTTGCTTTTTCTGTTGAGCTGCAGTTGCAATGAATCGATTCGGATGAATTGTGATCAAGGAAACAGTAATTATACAGAATATTTCACAAAGATAACGTGAGTATACGACAGATATTTTCAAGAGAACCAGTTATTTTTCGGGGGCATATAAAAGGTTGACGGTTAAAATTGGACGTTAATAATGTGGGTAGATGCCAGTCTAATGAAAAAATTCCAATAGGTAATTATAGCCTTGCCTTATATAGATTTTTGCTAAAATATTCAATCACTTGTTCTGTTTGCTTAGTTTTTCTCAGACAATTTGTATGTAAATGTAAAGAATAGCATCAGTGGGGAAAAGATGTACTGTATAGCACATTCACCCCCATTTGACTGAAAACATTTTCAAGATGTGTGGGAGAGGTAGGGGACTGCTCACTCAACACTGAAACTTAATATTTTTTTAATAAAATAAATAGTAAAATTAAGATGGAGAATTTTAATGAACATTGAAAGTCTAATAATGTGATAAAGCAATTAGTCATTGTTACTGTTGACTTCTTTGTTAAGGACACTACAAGTATTCAGGAAACATTGTTACTTGCTCCAAAAATGCTTTAAGGTATTTCTGAAGAATAAATTAAGGAGAAGTCCTGTCTTTAAGGACACACAAATAAAGCCTTGAAGATATGAATGCGGCAACAGGAATTCCACCAAATCAAATATCTTTACTCTAAAGGAATCTGGTGCTTGATTTCCATCATTCCTAATAAATTACAAGAGGAAACCGTGCTATTTTGTGACCTTTTCTGGAGAATGAGCTGGAGACTAATAGTTGAAGCTGGCACAAAATTTCAAGCATACATAAAATAACATCTTTTTCCACACAAAATCTCTAGAGATGGATTTGTATTATTATTCCATTCTGTCAGTATTTAGTGTTTTGGGTTCTGAATTCTAGATGTCTTGTTTTAGGAGTGCCCTTTTCTGATATCAAAGGACTGTCGCATTACTCTGCAGCAATGTTTCTGCTAGGGCACCAGGCATACAAAACATTTAAAGATGATACCTACAAAGAGTGCTGAAAAGGTAATTTTCTAATTTGTGCTTTAAGGTCTTATTTTGCTTTATTATTCTTAATGAGGTCAGTGAACCTCATCGGCCTAATTCAGTGAACCTGAATTAAAAACTGAAACTATTGTGTATCTGAGTAAGCGTAGCTGTTTTTCATTTGGAAGATGTTCATTAATGATTTTCCTTTCTTGAGCATACCACATATGTGTTGTATGCCTTTTCTGAATTTTGTTATTATAAGACCTTTTCTGAATCATGTTTTCATATGATAGTGCACCTTGTTTCTCTCATAGTTGAGAGAGTGGAACTACATATGGCAATTTTTTCGTTTTTCCCATGTTCACATGGCAAAAGACACAACTTACATTCTTGTCCAAGATCAATTCAAAAACAAAAATAACATTCCTCCACCTGGGAAGACTTCTTAAGCCTTTTTAACAGATTAGCTGCTCTCTTAAATTCAGGACAAGGTTGCACAGGGTATGTGGTTTCATAGACAAGTGTCTATGACCTTGCATTCTTGCAGTAGCTGCCTGGCAATCATTCTCAGAAGGGCTAAATGATCAGAAGAATGTTGTCTGTAATCCAGCCATGTTTATAGTGTAACAATCTCGGGGCTAAAATTAGAAAAGCTAGATTTAAAGGATTTGGTGTTGTAAAGAGTTTTAAACATAACAAAACTGCAGATTAAGAAAAGAATCAAGAGTTTTTATGTTAGTATTTCAAAAGAAAATAGCAGCTGGGTTTCAGTTCTGTAAGGTTTTTTTCTTCTCATCCTGACAAGATTAGAAAATTGACAGGCTGCGATATGTTCCTATGACACCACACTACATTTCATAGACTAGGTTACATTTGCAGAGCACAGCTTGGACATTCAAGTTGCTGCTAGTCTGTCAGTCCCCTCTCCCAGCTGCTAGAGAAAGACCAGCTGCCAAGACTTCTGTCACATGAAGGGCTGAGGAAGGGCGTTGTTCCAGTTTACATGAAGTCGGGCCTCCATAAAATTCCTCAAAAGCTTTATGGCTGTAGGAAGAGTTTTTAGTTGAGGAAAACTCCCAGATTTCCTTCCCTTGTAACCTATTTTACCTCAGTGTTTGTTGTGAAAAGGCCTGGCCCTTATTTAAAATTGAAATTTAAATTATTTTTACTTTTTTTTAGGGACTGTGTCAGTATTGTAAACTGACATGAGATTTTGGTGGCATGGGGATGGGGGTCAGTACAGCGCCTTCACAGCTTTTGGGTTCCGGGGTGCCTTCTGTGTGAAGTTTGCATTTTCTTTAGTCTGTGTCTATTTTGAATTTTCACTTGGTTTCCTCCCACAGTCCAAAGAAATGTGGTTCAGGTTTATTAATGGTTCAAGATTTCCCATCCGGTCACATCCACTGTGCATCTTAACTTGTACTTGCATGCTATAGCTCTCTAAAGATAAGTGGCTTCTGAAAATGGTTGGATGAAATGTTGTTTTGATTATGATCATGAATGTTAGGTTTGCCTTCAAAAGCTATATTTTGGTAGGAGGCAAGAAGGGCTTTAGTGATGGTAGTGTTTCATGTTTTCATTTTGTCCCATGATGTCCTTTTAATCTGGCCTTTGTCTGATTCTGTTTCCCAGTAAAAAAATGTAATCATCTAGTAGTTCCAAAGCACAGTAATCTGCTTTACATTTTGCATCTCAGCTGCTGAGGGTTTTGCATCATCACAATTTGTTTCAAGCATAGTTTTATGGTGAAACCACTTATCACTAATCCCAGAGCCTGCTTTACTTGTTCAGCTCCTGCAGTTTACCACTTTATATGTAGATACGTTTTACTGTTACCGTTTTCAGTTTTTGAACAATGTGTGCTGAAAATGTATATAATATTCCCAACTACCACTGACAATATTTAAAATCATTATGGCAAATAATGAGTAAAACATCCTCATATCCAGAAGATGATGACCATGTATTCCTGAATTTGAATGTAGTGAAGACACAATGGTTGCTGAAGATATGTCACTGTGACATTAGCTAAGGTATTAACAATGCACAATACTCCACCTCGGAATCCCTTTTTGCTTTGTTTCAGAGCAGACATTAGAAATTTGCAATCAGGTAATGTACTGATTCAAATATATTTAATTGCTGATAAATTAACATCTTAGCACCTTTTTTGATTTTACTCTGTTTTTTATTCTAAATCCATAAATACATCCATTATCAAAAACCAGAGACATTTCTAGAAACATAGGGAACAAAGCAAAACTACACCCTGGATGGGACATGCACACAGGCTTGATTTAGAGAAGTCAGCTAACCTACTGTACATACAGTAGCTTGTGTTTGGAAGGTAAAAGCTCTGGCAATGTGGGGTACACCATGCAAGCTCCACTCCAAAGGTGCCCAAGTCTGGACAATAAATCTTAATAGTAATTATACGTTATTTCACTAAAAATACAGCTTGGACTTTACCAGCAAAACTAAAAAACAGGGTAGATTTGTTTCTTCCTGGGTTGGTGCCCAGTCGTTTATTTAGGTGTAACATTTGTGAATGTGATTAACAGCTGCCTGTTTTCTGCAGATTTTAGGGAAGAGTTTGTATTGTCGTCAATAAGAATTAGACTGTTTATCAGACCACTGGACTGAGCTTGGAAAGAAAGAGAATTCGGAATGTGGGTTTGACTCATTTACAGAAGAGCTGCAGTTGCTCTTTCCCCATCCAGAATACTTCCGGAACCTGGTGGTGTTGTCCAAATACTCCGGAGCACGCAGGATGTTGCTAGGATACTCCTTTCTGTTGCAGTGATGACACCTGGCAGGTGGAGGCAACAGGTGATACTTCAGAAGGACCCAATAGTAGTAGTGACCGTTTTAAAGGCAGCTCCGAAACTGAAAGAACAGCAACACAAACAATTTGTTTTTGTGTCTCCAAACAGCATGAGATCATTTTGTTAGTTGTTGTCTTCCAAAGCACACTGCATTAGTGAGAACATGCAGGGGAAGATTGCTGTTTACTGTATGTGCTTTCCGTTTTTGAATGATAATTGAAATGGTAAATCATTTATTTGCCTCCCGTTATCCTTCACTAGCGTGGCACGGTGGTATCGTGGTTTACATTGCTGCCACGCCCTGGGCCCTGGGTTCAATTCCAAACTTTTGGAGCTGTCTGTGTGGAGTTTACATGTCCTCCCTGTATTCATGTTGGTTTCCTCCAGGTGTTCTGGTTTCCTCCCACTGTCCAACGTCATACTGGTAGATTAGTGGGCCCTGGTGCAAGTGTGTCTGTCCTGCAATGGACTGGCGTCCTGCGCAGGGTGTCTCCTGCTTTGTACCTGTGGCTTGCTGGCTCCTCCGCGACCTTGTATTGGGGTGGTTAGAAAATGGATGGATCCTTCAGTTCTGTGTGTTTGTTGTTTGTGTGCATGGTTATCTTTTTCATAGTCTCAATTTCTTTGTGTTCATCACTCTGGGTACAATTACAACTAGCGGAGATGCATCTTAAATTGTGAGAAACGCCTCCCTGCTCAATGCCACAGTCCCAGATTTTACAGACCACTTTATTTTAAATGATTGATTTAGTTCATGCTCTCCTTCGCAGGGCGAAATACATCAGTACAGAGCTGGGAATCCGGGAGCGTGTCTTTGTGGGGGTCCTGACGTCCAAGAACACTCTTAACACCTTGGCTGTAGCGGTCAACAGGACCATCGGTCACCACCTGAGCACCGTGGTCTACTTCACAGGGATGCGCAACCGGAAGCTGCCTCACGGCATGTTTGTGGTGACGCACGGCGACGAGAGGCTCATATGGAACATGTTCCAGACCGTCAAGTACGTGCTAGAGCATTACATCCACGAGTACGACTGGTTCTACTTCGTGCAGGACGACACCTACACCGAGGCCGACCGCATCAAGTCCCTTGTGGGGCACTTGAGCATCGACGCGGAGCTGTACATGGGCAGCCCGGAGGAGTTCATCGGGGGAGAGACGGAGGGGAGGTACTGCTACGGAGGCTTCGGCTACCTTTTGTCGCGTACCCTGCTGCTCAGGCTGCAGGCCTACTTGGAGAGCTGCCGCAACGACATCCTGAGTGCCAGGCCGGATGAGTGGCTGGGCAGGTGCATCATCGATTACGCCAACGTGAACTGTGTAGATGAGCACGAGGTGAGCCTTGTTTTTCATAGCCCTTTAAACAGGGCTGTATTATTCGTTTTTATTGCTGAATAGCCCAGAGGTCTGCAGCCTTGGTCCTCCTTTCATTCTGTTTGACCTCTGATTAACTTAATTGGAGCACTTATTTGCTGTGCTTACGCAGGTTTAACAGAGATCTTATTTATCATCCAAACCTCTTTATATAACCCACAGGAGTGTGTGTCTTCAGCTGCAGGAGCAGCTTCTTATACTTACGGTATAATTATTTTAATGTTTCTCTGAAAACAGCCACCATTCTCTGCAATCCTGACTTGTAAAACAACACAGCTATGACAGTTTGATGTGACTGTGTCTCCTGATATACAGTATGATGGCTTAATTTTGTATGAGCTGCTTGTTATACACCTGCAACCTAGTAAAGATCTAGTTCAGTTTAAAATGCCCATCTGGTAAACACAGCACCCAACTCATTGCCCTCTCCTTCAGCTCAATGAAAGTGTGATGACTGTTAACGCACACAGGTAGTGTTTCCTTTGACAATTCACACTACCATTTAAATTGTTCTGTAATTATTGTGTATCTTATTTATAAACCCCCCAACAAGCGCAAATTTCAATTTTCTTTTAAGTAATGTGAACTACAATGTGAATACTACAATCAGAAATAAGACATTGTGGAAGAACTATTTTAGAATACTAGTGATAAAACATAAGCTAATACCCTAATGACACATGCTTTTACTGTTCAGAATAGAATTGGAACATTCTCATGTGAAGGGAGAGCAAGCCTGATTTCAACACAGTTGAGCAAAACAACATGGAGAGCAATGACTATAACAGAACAGAAGAATATTGATATTTTTCATTATTATATATGTTAAAAATTATAATGCTTTGAAATGTGCAAATACTGACTTTTCATGGTTATCTTGGCCTTCCTTTTTTAGTTGAGATAAAAAGTTAAGAGTTCCTTTCTTGTAATTATTACAAATTTTTATTTTCAGAAATGAGGAATAATATCCAGAGCTAACCATTTTTCTCCTATTACTCTCCATTGTATCACGGTGGTATTTCAAAGCAAGTTTATCCAGCACAACACAGAAATATCATGTAATATGTGAAGTGATATTATAAATGGTAATGTGAAATGTTAGAAAGCAAAGACAGATTCTTGGAAAATGTCAGATTCTACTCCATGTCTGTGAACCTGTCACAGGTATCTTTAAGAAAAAAAGGTCAGTGCTATTAGGCTCATTTTGAGTAGTGATGGACCCAAAGGCTTGCTCTCGGATACTTTTGAATGTTATGTGAAGTTACCCCCTAATGATTCAGTAATAAATGCACAAGGAAATTGAGCCATTCCAAGATGCTTAAATGTATAGACTCAGAGACATTGAATTGATCATCTAAGCCCTAAAAAAGGTATAGTTTTCTTGAGATACCTTTATAATTTTCATTACAACAAGCTTGTAGTTTGTTGCCTGTGGTCTCTGGTTTCAGCAGGAAGCCAACTTACCCAAGAGCTATTACTTAAACATGAACACAGGGCCTTATTTCACAGTTCCCTCAACACTCAGGGGGTGTGGGGGTTGGGAGACTTTGCCATTTTAAAAAGTCTTACATTCTTGTTGGCTTCAAGAACACACTACATAAATTACAACTTCTGCCGAGCCTCCTGTCCTTTTTAGTCTTCCAAAGCACACTTCAGTTAGAAGCCGATGAGGGTAGAACTACAGGCTCACCCCTGTGGCACTTGGAAACACACAGGCCCTGTTTACTTGGCTCTTCCCTGCAGAGGGCCTGCTAGTAAGTCAATAAAACCCTGTAAAGCTAGGAAAAGCCCTCGGGCCTCAACCAGAGAGATCATCTGTCCGCAGTGTGAGGTGATATTGATAGCTGAGGCCACTTACGGATTGGTGACGCCAACTGGATCCCTAGAGATGTGGAAGAATTGATCATATCTTTGCAGAATATGTTGAACTGGTTATTTTTGTACTTGATAAGCATCACATTTGCCTGTGTGTGCCAAATGTGCTGGAGTAAAATATTCTGGTTTGAGTTAAAGATGTTTTTGCTGCAGTTTGGTAAATCACAATACCAGAAATGTTATTATTTGTGAGGCTGTGTTATCAACCAGCAGCTCTTCCTTTAAATCAGATCACTATAGAAACAGTGGGTCTTGAAGACTACATAACAATAAACTGTTGTTTCAGAAGAAAACATTTAAAGAACTCTTAGTAATCATACCAGTTTGACTGCCAGTCTCCTGGATGGATTTAAAAAAAGATTCTGTCCAGCCTCCTCTTAGTTTCACTTTTACCTCTGGGGAACATATTTCCTTGTGTGCTGACTTCATTGCATTTAGATGAGGAGAGATGTGTATGCCAATTTATTCATTGGCAAATATTAAATTTGACTAATACTTTTAATTTAAATCATTATTTAGGTTTATAGAATAAAATAAATAAACATCTTTCTGTTTCTACTCAAAATACCTCTATTCAGGATCCTTGACATAAATCTTTGCACAACCAAACTTCATGTTCAAAAGATTGCACATATGAAGCCAAGGAAAATATGTATTTCTGCATTCACTTGAGGCTTGGAAGCTGTAAACAGATCCTTTTCCTGTCCTATTTTATTCTGTTTCCCTAGTATGTGTAATTACAGGCCTGTGGTATATGTAACGATCTTTGTAAGAAAATAAATTGCAACAGTTTCTACTTTTGCCTATGCTACAGTATAAAGGCCTACATGTTGCATAGTGCCAAAGTTATGAGTCCAAATGCTCTGTAGGTGTTTAAAAATTAGCAGTATCTCTGATAAAAGAAAAGCATTTAAGAAAACTTGCATGGGCTTTTTTCCCCATAGTTTTTGTTTAACAGATGTTATTTTTTTTAGGATATGGTTTGAAATGTAAAGCACTATCCAACCTTATACCAAATAATTGCACATCATGATTTACCGCAGTAAAAACTAATTTCTACTAAGGGATCTGTTCAAGCTTTAATTGAATAATAGAAATTAGTTTTTATCAATTGAGCAAAATCCAGAGAAAATACTGAAATTTATAGAAGCTCACCTGCAAATTAGACATTACTGATGATAAAGTGGATCCAGCTAAGCATAATAGTGTAGAGGCGGATATGAAATTAGCTTTTCACCTCAAAAACTATATTGTTCATAGAAGTGGAGTAAAGAAAAGTACCCAGAACAGAAACATGTGGGACTCCTTTAACATGTGGTAGTGAAAAACATCTGTTCTATTTTACAGAATGTTTGGTTTTGTAATTCTGAAACCATGCAAGGAGTTAGTATTAAGATCAGCGCTATGCATCTTTTTCTAAACTGTATCAAAATCTAAATGGTATCAAACACCTTATATAAATCTATAAATATATAAAAAGGATAGCTGCACAAGTGTGATTTATGTCATGAGCCATCCTAATATCATTGAGAACTTGCTGTAACATATTCAAGACCAAAATGAAAACCAGTCTGCAGATAAAATGTAATTGCTGTTTAAAAAAAAGCCTAACAGTTTAAAACATTTCTTCCATGACATTAGGAAACCAAGATCAAACGGATATGCTATACAGTCCATTTAACCTGATAGTTGCATTGTAAAAATTGCAAAAGTCAAGTATGGTATGTGTCAGCTTTTGTCGCTAAGTGAGAAGAAATGGAGCAATGGAGGGGGGAGTGCAGAGAGAAAGGAGTGAGAATGGAGGAGGGTTTTACATTTTAACAAATTATAACATGAAAATGGTTAAATTAAAAGTATTTTAACCTTTATTAAATGTATTAAATGTACCTGCACGACCATTGCTCCTGCTTGAGTCTGTGACTTATTTTCCTATTTACTCACCTATGTTACTGTGTTGTAAAAAACATCACTAAATTCATGATATCCCTTTTGAGCTGGGGAAAAATGATTCTAGCTGAACTGATAATAGGTTTGTAGCAGTTAGTCTGACTGAACAATCGCAGAACAAGTGCAGCTGTCCACTCTGCTGGGATTTAAACTATTGTGAGAGATTTAATAAGCAGGTCAGCAGAACTGCAGTTTTTTTTTAATTCAATATTAATGTAATTGTGACCAGCAAACTTTAGTGCAAAATGTAAACAAACCTAAGCCCTGAGTTGTTTACCAAACTAATTAAAATGTTATCTCTTGACCTCATAATTGGTGCATCCATGTTGCTGACTTCCTAAAAATTATAAGTAAAAAGGCTGAACAATAATCTGATCCAGTTAACTAATACTAGATCGTGTCTAAAAGACAGTTTGTTGGAATCCTAAACTATCTCTTCTGCTTTTATCTGAAAGAAGATCTTCTTTCAGTACTCTTTGAATAGTCTGAAACAGTCACTAATATCTGAACAAAATACACAAAATGTCATTTCCACTTTCATTCTTTAAGTCTTGTTTTCAAAGCAAAGCTTATTGCCCAAATCATTTTAATTCAGATTGCTCGTAGTCTTCTGATGTAATTCAGAAGACTGGGAAAAACGAAAATCAAATTGGTAAACCATGACACCTGGGCCTTCACATTTAAGAATGTGCCTGGAGTTATTCCAAACCATTCCCAGTGACCTGCTGATAATTAGTAATCGTATCTTATTTTTCTTTCTTAAAAGAATTGTGCAATAATGATAAACCTATTTTATACAAGTCATCAGGAGTCAACAAGATTTCAGGCTTGTTACTGTAAGATGGTGCCAGGCAAAAATCTGCCTCATTTCTTCCTGATTTTCTCAGCTGCGATGGTTTGAAAATCCCGTAAGATTAAGATCGATTTGTCTTATGTAGATGTAAACTACATTTATCCAAAGAAGAAAAATTAGCTTGACAACAATACTGAAAAAAATGCGTTTCCTTCCAAGCAATGCAGTGTATTTGTTACTGAATGCCTTCACATTTTGATCATTAAAAGGATTTCAGTTCCTTTAAATAGGCTTTTCATTCAATGTTACTTTTGTTCGGATTTTTGTAATGGCCCTAAAATTAAATTTCTCTTTGATGTATGCAAATTGTTTCAGATGCGTTAAGTATAATCTGTTTGGCCTTTTCTCTGTCTAGACTGTGGCAAGAACAGCTCCACGAATAGACAAAGGATGCCAGAATACAAAGCTGTATTTTTTTGCTTTCTGGAGGAGTGTCATTAATCTGTGTTGCTTTGTTTCCCATGTTTGCAATGTGGGGAGCAGGTTAACTTCAGCAAAAGAAATGCGTGCTACAAATTTCAACCCAGCAGTTTGTGTGTTCCAGTTAATTCTAGATGGTCTTGTTTTTCCACCTACTACCTATTTATGCAACTCATACTGTTGTGCCTTGCAGCAAGGTTTAATGTCTTGAGCGACTTGCCAAGTTTAACATGCTTTCGTATTCAGATTTCTGCCTGTAAGGGGTCAGTTAAGGGACTAATTAATTACTTTCACAAAAAGGAAGGTTAAGGTTCCTGCAGAGGTCCATGTATCATCTAGACTTGACCCACGCCTTTCTTTGATTCTCAATCAAGATGTTCCAATTTTACTTGGTCTCATTGATTTTATTCTTTTTTCTGTTCTTAGGGACTCCGGTACCATCGCTTTGAAATGGGGAAAAATTCTGATCCAAGTAAGGAAGATGATGTGCGCTTTAAAAATGCATTTACGGTTCACCCAGTCTCAGACCCCGTTCAGATGTACAGACTACATAAGCACTTCACTGAAATTGAATTGCAAAGAACTTATGAAGAGATTGAAAAATTACAGGTATGTTGAAAAAGGTGTTTTATTCAAGAAGTAAATGCGTTAAACATGAGCTGACCTAGTTCCCCGATGTTTGTTGGAAAAGGTATAATTTACTCTGAGTAGAACATTTGATCTTTTCAGTTCATATTGAAATTGAGAATCCATGTCTGTGCTTTGGAATTCCATGGAAAAAGGTGAGTATTGATAGAAGCACAATGTTCTTTTTGTTTGATTTAATAATGCCTTGCATGACCTCCACAGCAATTAACATTCCTCTACCAGCAAATAGTATATCTAATATGATATGTATGGCATTTACCATACCAGATGATACATTTATCGTTTTAAGTCTGTCTCTATTATGATTTTTTTTTACAATTATTTTAGGTCTTAAAGATAAAAATCACTGAATTTTCACAGAGTTACATTTGCTGTTGAGTACTTCAAATCTTGTTATATGTTGAGCTTTAGTGTTACCAATGGAGATCAAGTTACTGTCTGTAAACGTGGCTATTCTTTTTGCTTGTATGCGTTGGGGGGAGGAAAATCTATAGGATTTAAAGAAATGTATAGGTGCAGTGCATGTAATGTCAGTATCTTTGTTTTTTTTTCCACAGGCAGAAATTAAAAATATAAGTGAAGTTGCTTTTGAAGGAAATCGCAGTTCTCAGTGGCCTATTGGAATCAATCCACCATTTGAACCAAAAACCCGCTTTGAAGTTCTCCGCTGGGATTACTTTACCGAAGATCAGGTCTACAGCTGTATTGATGGCTCCCCAAAATGTGAACTCCATGGGATTGATAAAGCGGATGTTACCGACGTCATTGAAACGGCAATGGGGGAATTAAATAAGAAGTACAAGCCAGTGCTGCACCTAAAGAAACAGCAGCTCCTCAATGGCTACAGACGTTTTGACCCAACTCGAGGGATGGAATACACTTTGGATCTTCAGCTGGAGGTTGTCAATCAGAAAGGAAGGAGCCGTTCTATTACTAAACGAGTTCATCTTGTTCGGCCTCTGAGTGAGATTGAGATCATACCTATGCCTTACGTTACAGAAGCTACCCGAGTTCACATAATTCTGCCATTGACTGTTCATGATCGAGACTATGTCAACCAGTTTCTTGAGGTATACGCTGCAAACTGTTTTGAGACGAGCGAAAATGCAATTTTGTCTTTCTTATTCATCTATGACCCTTTCGAGGCTCAGCAAGTCAACCAGAATGACATCTTTATGGATGTGAAAGCTAAGATCAGTGCCTATGAGCACAAATACCCAGTGACCAAAATACCATGGATCAGCGTGAAGACAGAAGCTCCCTCTCAAATAAAGATAATGGACATCATCTCCAAAAAGCATCCGGTTGATACGCTATTTTTTGTAGCGAATGTCAACACCAACATCAATTCTGAGTTTCTCAACCGCTGCAGAATGAACAGCATAAATAACTGGCAGGTGTTTTTCCCCATCCACTTCCAAGACTACAACCCTGATATCGCCTACCACAACCAGCCACGTCCAGCCACAGTTGACTTGGTCAAAGACGCCGGGCACTTTGACCGCAATGTGTTCGATGAGGCGTGCTTCTATAACTCCGATTACATGGCGGCGAGAACCAGGATGTCCGCTGACGTGCAGGAGAATGAGGACATCCTGGAAACGTTTGACGTCTATGACATGTTCATCAAGTACTCAAATCTTCACGTATTCAGAGCAGTTGAGCCTGCGCTGCACCAGAAGTACCAGTATAGGGTCTGTAACCCACGACTCAGTGAGGAGACCTATCACAGATGTGTCCAAAGCAACCTTGAGGGCCTTGGATCTCGGTCCCAGCTAGCCATGCTGTTATTTGATCAAGAGCAGGGGAACAGTACTTGACCAAATACTGAAAACAGAACAAGGTGCAGGATTTCTCCTTTTAAAGAAACAAAAGTCTTTTTGTTGTTGAGCAATGTTTACAATACATTCCAGATGATTTCCAGTCCATTTGCAGAAAGCATTATTCTATTTTGAGCAGCAGCAGACTTGATTTCACTTGTTCGTTACCAAATCCTTTACACTCATGAGCCTTCTTTTACTTGCTTTCCAGTGTTTCAGCTGAAGGGGATTTGGTGAAGTATGCTTCTAGCCATTTGAATGGCTACTTAATTCATTGATATACTCTGTTTTTTCTTCTTTTGCTATAATTACACTTTCTATTCTTTACTTGTGGGCACAATTACAGATTAATAGGTCAAAAGGTTGCTTAAGGATCTACAGTACAGCAGCTACCTTTTAAGCGCTTACAAGATGCTGGCATCTGCTTTAATTATCCGTACAGAGGCAGATGTTCATTCTGGTGCCTGTGAATTGCATTTTTAATTTGTTGGCATATTCTTCAGTGAACTTATAGTCTGTTTTTTTAATAAACAGTCATCACACAAAGGCCTCGTCTTAAAGCAAATGAATGTTGAGAGGAAGGTGATATTTTAAGATACCAATATTTAAGGTCACCTTTAAAGTTTATTAAATATGCCTTTTTTCAAATAGTATATATACATTTACAAATGGTTTATGCCTTGCCTTTCTCCTGTTTGACATGCTTTCATTATTTTATATCAAAATATTGAAAGTGAAACATTTTCTTTTACATTCTCACCTGTAGAGTGGATGAGACATTTTGTGGTTAGCCACTGTTAATGTTGGTTTTAAAGAGCTGCTTTTTTAATTTATAGAACCCACACTGGCACTGACCTGTTGAATCCTGGGAGGTGGGAGGTACTGTAGCATTATGTGCAATATGATATTATTAGTGTTAAAGCAGGAAAGGCGACATACCTTTCTGCCCTATAAAACAGTAACCCACTCACTTTTCCAGAACAGCAGGTTGATGCTCACAGAATTACCAAAGTGATTTCTGCTCTGTTGCTGTGTTTTTTTGAATGTACAGATTGCAGTTGCCTGCTGACTACTTCTATTTAAAAGAGCTAGTGTACCGAGGACTAACACACTTCCTGAATATACCAAGAAGCAGGTTAATTAACTCTTAGCAGTGAAAAATAAACAAACAGAAGCTTAATGTGTTCTGCCAGTCAAAGGTGTATTGACCCATTGTTCTTCCAATCTTTCTAGTGTGGAAAAGTTTAACTCGTGATAAATGAGTTCTTCTTTCTATAAAAGCTTCCTCTTGGTACAGTATATCTAGTTTGGTCTTTTTTCTTAGTTAGAGGGTTTTTTGTGGATTGCTGTTCTTTTTAAAGACAGGAATATAATTACAAAGATGATATAGGTTTTGCATCATGCGGTTATTTCTGAGATCATGAGTGGAGAGGACAATGGAATCTAATTAAAGAACAGGACAGACAATTGTCTTCTTAACATTTCGTTAGCAGTAATGAATAGGGTAGGGCAATGAAGGATGATCAATTGACTTCTAGACATACATTTTGTCTGGCATTTATGTGCATTAATAGTATGCACTCTGTCATACGCTAGATTAAAATGAACACATAACTTTGTTTGGGGAAAAAAAAATGATTTTTGTTTTCAATAATTTCCACCTTGGCCAAGAATGAGGAAACTGATTTGTATTTTCTCCACTGTTCCACGTGGCACTCCTAGGGAAAGGTACAGGCTCATATGGAGCAGCAATACATAGAGTAGACAATCAATAACAAAAATTTGTATTTATTATTTACGTCTTATGCAACAGTACGTATTTGTTTTTCAAATGTTACTTTTTTTCTGCATTCACAGTATTATGTTAAGTCTTTTCTTTCTTTGAAAGTTCCCTAGGGCTTCAAAATAGATCTGAAAGCTGTATTGGATTTTGGATGATAAAAGTAAAAGGATATTCCTCACACAAAGTACACTGTTTTAAACTTCCTTGAGCTTGTAAAAGTATGAATCTTGTTCCTTGGAATTCATATGTACAGTATACCTGTTTTATACATAGATTGAACATTTGTTTTTTTCTCTGAGCTGGTATAAGTATAAATGAATACTTCCACTTAGTTCATTGACATTAAGAGCACAAAGCATTGTCAGACTTAACTTTCAATGTTCTGAAGAATGTTCCAGTTTGCATTGCACAGCAGATATTAATTGGTGATGGTATCTCAACTATAGTTGGCACAATGGTTGTAATTGAAGTTTATTCTCTGTTTGCACCAAATGACTTAACTATGCCAGCAGCTGAAACCTGCTTGACAATACATTTACAGGAAAGAGGTAGGTGAAACTGTTGCCTAGAGAAGCTAATTTTATGTTGTTCAATACAGATCATTGTTACCAGCATGTTCTGAGAACAGTATTTCCAATGAGACCAGCTGTCTGGCCCAGCTTAATATCCTGTTATGGGATATATTATCATTAAACGCACACAATATTAATAATAATCTTAAGAATGGCAAGAAGTCGTCTTCTAATTTGCAGAGTACAGTATGTGTAATTGCAACTTGGTTTTGTAGTTTATATCATATGATTTTGCCAGACATAGAAATGAAGAGCAGTATCATTACTTGTTAATCAGAGGTTTTATAGCTGAAAGATTGTCCTGTGTAGTGAAAAATAGGTTTTTATTGAGGCACTATGTTGTTACTAAGCTTGTGCCAAGATGGGTTATGTTTACTCCTTAGAACTTGGTCACTTAGGATTTAACTTTAATTGACATAATTATTAATAATGTTTAAGTGATTAATAAGTATACTGTAAAAGTAGGAACTCCCATTACATGGAGTGGTGCTATAAAGTCTCATTGTGGGCACTTTTTCTATTTTTTATGAAAAAATATAGATTTCACATTTTGCTTCATGCTCAAAGGACTCCTGTGCATTCATTTATATACACAAGTGCTGCAGTAAGTTTGTAACATTACGTTTTTGGTACGACGCCTGTTAAAGTTTTCTTGGTAACACTTCAATGCTTGATGTGTGTGCAAATGTATCTAAATACTATTTTATATTTGAAAGTGTAAAATGGTAGAATTTATATAGCTTGGGACATTGGCAGTTTTCAGGTACAAATGATCCTGATTAAAATTTCTTCAAGAACAGCATTTTGTGGTGTAACTGTGAAGGTCTCTTTACTTGCAGTTTTGATTGTTCAGCTTTATTTCTGTCTGTTTTATGTCCATTTACATGATCAGAAAATATTCTATAACAAAATAATGTCAATTAATCATTTGCAGTGGCTTATACTAGCTCTAGTGATTTTTCATACACAGCGTGCACACTGTACTCAACAATGTTGGAATGGAATAGTGTTTAAAAACATATTTTTTGGATCATACTGGAATGTTTTAAACTTTGTTTTAGAACAGGAATTAAGGAAACAATAAGATAAAAAGATTCAACATCTTAATGGTTTTCCAAGCTGCAATGGATTTGAACGGGGAGGGTATCCCTAAAAGGCTTTGAAAATTATCTTTGAATGATGTGCTTAGGAACTTGTCTCATGTCTAACTTCAGGAAGCAGGAAAAAAGCACTATGAAGTTGGTTGTTTTCGAATAGCTTCAGTTTGAAATGTATCTGAATAATTTAACTTTTTTGTTTGCTAAAATGTTCAACGTTGGATGTGACTGTAGTGAACAAAGTAAACATTATGACAGAGTCAAGAAGAGTGAATTTATTCATAAAAAAACTTATGTAATGCTGTTTGGCATTGTATCAGGATCATTAACTTCATAGCTGCCTTGTCCAGTTTTCACAATAAAATGACTGTGAATTTTTCTAACTATAAAAATATTTAATAGTCTCTCTGTGTTTTTTTCCTGTTTTAATTTCATACATACTGTATGATGGCTTTTTATTTTTGTTTTTTTCAAAAACATTGCGTTACGTGAAGCACTACATTTTTGTAACTATTTCCTGGATGTTAAAATATAGGAAATTTGTAGGAACACCAAAGTGTACAAGGGACATGAAATGTTTGTTTTATGTTGCTCCAGGAAATCTAACAGCTTGGTTCACAGATTTAATTATCCACAAATGATACATCAGATAGAAAATGCAGTTTTAATGTAAACAATAGTCACCTTACATTTAGCACCTGCATGTTGTCTCGATTGTTTCCTTCCAAGTGATAGAGAATATGAAGCTTAATAAAAGCATATTATATTTAAGGACACTTTTGGCTATTGTCCATTTTGATAAAAATAGATTTTCATGTCTCATCAAATGGCAGACAAGAACAATAGAAATTGCAGCCTTTTGTAAATGTTCTGTATAAGGCTGTGTAATGATTTTTGTTGGCTTTTTTTGTAATGTCTTTCGCAATCTCATGTTTTTGGAAATATAAACAGGACCTACCAGTAATTCAGCATATTTCTTTTTATGCATACCTTGGCAAGATAATCACCAAGCAAAGAAATCTTGGAGTAAAATTAGAATCGCTAACAACCTAGCTGCTATATAACAACTCTTCTGTATCATACAGTACATGGGAGAAAAGGAACAAGTTCATTTTTTTTCAGCAAAATTTGTAGGTGAGCTTCTGTAAGAGAAATTTAGCACAAACAAAAGATATTAGGTTGTCTCAAAATGATTAAATGCAGAAGTGAGGTAGATTGGAAAGTTAATGGCAACTTGATGTGTAGCAAATTCTAATTTTGTGAAAGTAAAATCACCAAATATTATGTATAGCACTAGGTATTACATTAGGTAATAGTCACAAGGCAGTGTGATCATGTGCCTGTTTCTTTCTAAACTTTAACTGATAAATGTGTTGGAGCCGAATGTCTAAGAATTTTGCGAGTTCTGAGCAGATGTTCTTATAAGAAGCAGCAGTTCCTACTGATGTGACACTTAAGAACATCAAAGCAAATTTAGATTTGATAGTGATACTATCCCACTGAACTGTTTTTTTAATAAGAGTGATTAATACTAGAGTACTAATTTAAAAGAGTATTTAGGTTCAGGGATGCCACACATTCAGTTGTACATGCAAGCAAAACTACATCACAATTGTCAAATCTCAAATGTGGATTTGGTGTTATGTACTATCTTAAGCCACCCAAAATCTAGACTGCTGAAGTGTGTAAACTTTAACCCTATCTGTACCTTAACCATAAAGTGCAGATAAATCATCACTCTCTAGTCCTAAACTCAAAACCATAAACCTACACTTGACCCAGACCCTGAAAGTGTCTTTGACAATAATAATGCTTCCCTGCATTGTCTGGATAACGACATTGAGGAGTACACATACTGTAAATGCCTAATGCCTTCCATATGTCACCTCCTCAAGGTCAGTTCTCCCATTTGCATCTTATGTACTGTTTCTCAACCCAAGCCTGCTGTCTATATACAGTATATACTGTCTATAGCAACACATTGCTGCTTCTGTAGTGTTTCTAATCCCCCAATTTTCATATCTGCACATTTTACAGGTTTGCCAACTACGCCAAATTATTTACATAAATCAGACTTTGGTTCTCCACTGATACTGCAGCTATATCTTGACTTTTTTTCCATGACTGTAACTTCTTTCTTGTTATTACAAAATTCAAATAGCCCTGTGGCTGGAGCCTGTTTGAATTTATTCCAAATCACATGTCTCAGGGCAAGTCATTTTAGCCCATTCTGGCAAACCATGTTCAGCCTGGGTCCAGATCCCATTATCCCCCAGGCCTGATTTCATTACCTGGACTCGGACTCAAGCCTGGCACACCGCCTTGTGTGTGTTAACAGACCACAGACCACAGATGTTGGAACTGAAGTCACAAAGTTTAATTTTATCAACAGCAATTTACACTGAAAAATGCAGCACAGAAATACTGAGGAGAGCAGTTAATTTCACTTCAGACCCTGCAGTCTTTCCTTCTCTGTTTGGGTAGAAGTCAAAGGGTAGGTTAAGGAACATATATGAGTACATGTTGTCCATGTGTGCCTTTGTACATGTAAGGTATGCAGGTGTGAATAATTTAAACAAACAGTTGAGAGCTCAACTGGAATTCAGATAAACCAAGATGAGTGCGGACATGAACTGTCTGAGGTTAGGCCCTGCTGGCCAAAAAGCACTAGAACCATCGTCCAAACTCTGTAGATGACTTAAATCTCTAGGTGAAGAGGAATTTGTGTGGGGTTAACAGGAGCTCTTGGGAGTGCATGGTCTCTTCTAGGCTAGGCTGGTCCTCAACCCTCCTAAGACTGACTCTCTCCACAATGGATAAGCTTTCTCTAGGGGTGTGCAAGCGCTCTCTGGGTGAAGCCATGTGTTTCAAGGGCTATTTCTTGCTGGCAGTGGTGCGTGCACGGGTGAGGCGGTCCACCAGGCTACGGTCAGCAGAGGGAGGGCAATGGGACAATACCAAGCTAATCTCTCCTTCGCTGCGCCGCTCGATGGCTGCCTCTGCTGCCCCCTCCAGATCCCTAGGGAGACATACAGTACAGTAGCAATACATACAGACTCACACACTTCTGACAGAAAGAAGTGAACTGCAACACTGTTGCTGAAAGGAGGAGAGAGAGGGAGCCACGCACTGCCCCCTGACAGGAAGAGAACCCACCCACTGTTTAGGGACAGAAAGATAAACTGAAGGCAATCACACAGTGACCCCTGTGTTTTAGAACAAAATGGATGCCTACAAATGACATATAGCAAAATAAAGGAGAGTATAAAGGACAGATGGGCACAGAAACTCACCCCACAGCTAGATGTGCCTTCACCTTCTGCTCTGGTGTGACCTTGGAAACATACTTTTTGGCCTCATATTTGTTGTGATGCTTCACACAGATTTCTACAAAGGGCTGAGAAGAAACACCCAACTATAACCTACATGAATACTGCAGAAACATGGACCACACAATGCATATTTTATATGGTGTCAACTTTTCAGTACATCGTATTATGAGTTTAAAAAGGCAATCAAGTCAGTCAGAAAACAAATTCAAATTTTCAAGAATTTGGCTGAATTCAGTTCTGCAAAAGAATGGACTTTGTTCACAGTACTAAAGTACAGGAATTTTATACATTTCAAACACAATATAGTAAATCATGGAAACGACTGTCCATCTGTCCACAGGCCATGCTTGTGTCTTCACACGAGATGTGATATCTTACCAAGTATCCAATGGGAGATTTCTTGCTCCTGGAGAATTTCTCGAGCTCCTCCCAGTCCTCCTTCTCAGCCAGAGCAGAGATCTTCAGCCACCAGTACCTGACGGACACATGCACAGAAAAAATACACTGGGTGACAGAGAGTCAGGCAGACCAAGACAGATGCACACACTGTGAGACAGTCACATTGGCACGCAGAATACCCGCTACCCTGCCCCACCCCACCTCTTGTCTGGAATGCGGAAGTCCTTGTAAAGCTGTTCTGCCGGCCGGATCCGGCCTTCCATGAGCAGGCTGTGCAGCGTTTCCTGGAGGGAATAATCCATGAAGGGCCGGTCAAACTCCTCCTGCATTCGCCGCTGAAACCGCAACAGCCGCATTTGTTCCTCTGTGGCCTGCGAAAATTGGGAGAGGAGAGGGAAAGGTAAAGAGGAAGTGAGGAATTTGCAGGGAAGGACACACAAGGAAAAAAGTAGCAGCAGTAGGAACACAGTGGAACAGGGTGGCAGAGGTGGAAAGGCAACAGAGAGATGGTTAGAAGAAGGGCAGATGTGACAGAGATACAGAATCAGCTGATACCTGACTTATTGCTTCCATCAGCTAAAGTTGCATTTATCAGGGTTTCAAGGTTGAGAACGGGGAGAAAGGGAAAACACCTCCAGTGGCCTGAGTTCTAAAAAGGCCTCAGTTCTAAAAGAAGCCCCATGCAGGAGGATGTAGATGTGTAGAGACAAAATCAAGGAACTAGCACTCAAGTAGGAGAGTGCATCTTTTCATGGAATTTCTAGCCTACAGCACAATCTGGAGCTCAGCAGACGGTTGTCTGCATGACTGTTTCTCCTAGCTCACTATGTATCTTACTGGGTACACCACCAGAGTCAACAAATACACAGATCAACAATAGTATTCTACTGGTGTTCGAGATGCTCAGTGCAGCCACGGTCCATGCACCACACCAAGCAAAAAAAAAACGACTGTGGAACGAAATCCATCCTTCAAAACACTTATGATTCCACACTTTGCAATCGCTGAGGAAAGGAGATCACTACTTATAACTTATAATTTACTGTAAATAATACAACGGTAAAATCCTCAACAGCTAAAGTTTAGTTAAAGCACCACTATAGCAAGTAAAACATTGTGCATTAGTAATCAGTGTCTGCATTATACCGGCAACAATATTTGTAAAAGTTGCTTACAGTGCCCCAGAGAAGTGAGTTAATTTCGCTCACCTTGGCAGCGAACTCATTCTTGGCCTTGTTGTATTCATCAACTGCACTCTGCAGGGCAGCTAAGCGTGCCTCCAGTTTCTGTAGAGGAGGAACACAACAGATTGAACAGGCATAAGAATCAATCCACAACCCGCTCTCTTCTCTTTCTCCTCCATGGTTCTTATTTAATCAACAACCATAGTCTTCTCAAGGTTGTTTAAGTGTATGAGAGGTTTTCTTCCTTCCCACATTCTACAGATAGGAGAACCATCTCTTACAGTGGACTATAGGCAATCTTGGTTCTTGATCTTCTGTGCCCCATTGTGTGCATTTTTCTCACTATAGCTGTCTCTTCTCTGTGTGTGACAGTGTATATACTCACCCCCTCTCTGTAGCTGGCTCTAACATAGAAGTTTCCCAGCTCCTGATGATCATCATCCTGGTTGAACAGGTCCTTCAGTGTGTCCTGCTCTTGGTGCTTACAGAACTGAAAGAGAGAATTGGACAAGTTAGTACTGATGGGGCTTAAACAGTTGATGAGTTGTTAGTTCAATACATGTCCGTTCAGATATACTGTAACCCCTCACTCACCTGTCTGTACAGACTCAGAGCAACTGGCTGGTTTCTCAGAGTCATGAAGAAGTCTCCACGGTTCATCTCATTTTTCAGATAGGTAACCACAGTGTACACTAAAAGGGGAAAAAATATGTCTTATATACTGCCATTTACACAAAATCCTGACCCATAAGAAATTATGCAGCACCCTCAGCCATCTAACAGGCATGTATACAGTGTTATAGGCCTATTCTGCAAGTACAATGGCTGGCAAAGTTCTGCATATGGTTTTGAAAAAATCAAGTAATAAAAAATATTAAGAACTGTGTAGGTGTCCAGGGTATTACAGTGCAGTCTGCGATTGTGTCACAAGCTCATGTGCCAGTATGTCATACCCAGGTCTGTGTCCCCACTCTCAATCGCTTTGCTCAGAGCAAGCTGACTTCTCTTCATTTTCAGCAGAAGGGGCACTTGCTCCCCGGAGCGAGGCTCAAACTCCAAGAGCTAAGAGAGAAGGGAGGGAGGGAGATGAAAGAGAAAGATTCAACATACAGTACTCTGTAAATTCAAACCGCTGCTTCTCAAACACCCCTCAGAGCTCAGTGATTAGAGCAAAGCAGAAGGAGACCCGAAAACTGTGTCTCTGCAGAAGCACTCTGATTTGTCCTGTAGGGAGTGACATTTGGCAACTACAGACTGCTAAGATGCTAAGGGTTTGTTAAGAATGTGACTACACCTCCTGTAAAATGTGACTTTGTATGTGTATTAGGTAAGGTACTTCTCTGTCTTACAGGGTCATTTGAAAAGGGGAATCTGAGTTTACATTTGGCTCACACTTCTATCCATTTATAGATCTGGCCTTCTTCCTGACGTAAGGAAAAGCTTTCTCAACGATACAACCTAACCCCAGAGATCTGAAAACTCAACCTTCCAGTTAAACGTCTAGAGCTCTAATTACTACTCCACACTACTGAGTGTATGAAATCAGCACTGCTCAGTGTGTATGTTAGTGTGAGAGAGAGTTGGACAGCACCTTGATGGCCAGCTCTGTCCTGCCACATTCATAAGCCCGCGCCGCTATCTCTGAATATGAGATCCCCACTGCATCGCCTAGCTTCTGATTCACAGCCCGTGCAATAACATCATCAGGCTCCTCCTTTTGCTGCACCTGAAACACACAGTCCAGAGAGAGCGAAACATTACATCTGTACAGAATCATCAACATCTGGGCTACAAGACTTTGTTGCCACATGTCCATGTACACGTCAGTCAGTATTTTTCTCACCTTGTTGCAGGCCCAGTGTTTCAGCACTCTGCTCACACCCTGGTACTCCGGGATCTTTAGGTAGCGGCAGACCTCTATAGCCAGAGGATAGAGCCTGCGGTACACCAGCCTGCAGTAAACATTAAAAGAGCAGAATAGTATGAAAGAGGTAGAAAGCACTATACTCAAAAACAGCTACTACCCATACAATGACAATATACAATCCATAACTGTGCAGGAGTCTCCTCCAACTCACCTGTCTATAAGCACCTGCACCGTCATCTGCTTATACCTGAGAAAGAGGTCAAGGACAACAGGAAAGCCACACAGACGTGTAGGTTCACTGGTACTCAGTGTAGAGGAAATACAGTTTCTGCAAAACCTAAAGTGAGCTGTTTTTAGCATTATTACACGCATATTTACTATATTATCTGAATGCACAATTATGAATTCGTATCACACATATTAACACACTGAAAGACAAGTATACACACCAAATCAATACAGTGGACTTTTGCATTTTTGAAAATCTGTTGTTTGATGCTATGTATTTCACATCACTGGGGTACTCTACGAATTGGCTACATTACTCTGCTCTCCTCCCCACTAATAGCTGATGTGTGGTGAGCGTTCTGGCACACTATGGCTGCCGTCGCATCATCCAGGTGGATGCTGCACATTGGTGGTGGCAGAGGGGAGTCCCCATTACCTATAAAGTGCTTTGAGTGGAGTGTCCAGAAAAGCGCTATATAAGTGTAAGCAATTATTATTATTATTATTATTATTACTACTATCTATTACACAGCCTCATCCTAAATCTAGGAAACAGCATGCTTGTATTTTAGTAGTATATAAAGTAAACATGTAACAAACGCTAGTCTGGTTTCTTATTTATGTCAAGTACATTTGAATGACAACAGTAAAAAAGTTTGAGAAAGTTTTAGGGATAGTATTAGTCTATAAAGCAACCTTTCAAGATCCACTGTTAAATCAAGCTATGATCAAATTTGGACAACTTTTTATTATATGGTTTAAAAGAAAATATATTTGTAAATTATTTAAAAAATCTACACAATATTCAATTAGCTTTAATTGAATCATTTTTAGTTTATTTGGTACTGTGCCTGTGTTCTGTTTCTAGTTAGTTATTACTTTATTCAGCATCCATTTCAAAGCATTTGATACAGTAAAGAACCGCAGAGTCCATTTGTACAACAAGAATATAGAACTAGAAATCAATATTCAGATAAACCCAAGATGGACAGATAGAGGAACCCTGTGGAGGATACTGAGGGTGTGTGAGTGGAATGCCCACGGTATAGTCACGCACTGCATTCAGGACCCGCAGCTCTCTGCACATGCTGACGAAGAGATCGGGAGGGAAATTACTGAGGAAACACTTCCCAAAGGATGCGGCCTGAAAAGACAGAGAGTAAAGTCAGCAATGAGTTGACACAGTGACTCCGGCCTGCCTCTCCTTGTCCTCCAAAAGCTAACACTTCACTCCCGGAGAAACTATCGGAGAGACACAGGTACAGTATGTCAGCACGGGGTTCACATGGTGTTTTCTTCTGCCAACTTCCTCCTGAAACTTACACTTCCTCCACCAAGTACACAGAGTGGGCCCTTGTCACTTTGTGACATGTGATGAGAAAGTGACAGTCTAGAGCTTCCCATCCCTGAATCCGCACTTTCTACAAATCAGACAGTGCGACAGACAAAATCCACCGATTTGAAACATTTCTGTCTCTTTTTACTTTTCCACTCCCCCTCTGAATGTGTACCTTCTTCTCCATAACTCCTTCTCCTTACCTCCCTCTTTCTATAGGGCCATCCTTTTTCCTCCTCCATTTCAGTCTCTCTCCACATTCCTATATCTCCCTCTGACTTCTATTGTCCTTCTCCTCTGACTCAAGCCCTCTTACAGCTTGTCTTTCTCACCCCCCTCTCCACACCTCCTTCTCTCGCACTTCCACTTCCTCTTTCTTCATAGCCCTCTCTCCCACCCTCTCACCCTCAGCAGTGTTTTCTGGGTCTCTGGCTCATGCTCAAAGCCAGCAGCTTCCACGCACTGTCTGACTGCCTCCCCCAGCAGACTTTGTTCCTTTATCTCCCGGAGATACTCGTCTGCCTTCTGACTCTCCTTCTGCAGAAACAGACACATAGACTCTTGTTACCAAAGACAATGGCATATTTTAACAACACCACACACAAAGGAGCAAGCACGCAAACGGAATCACAAACCATTAATTATGATAAGACATTTAACACATGCATTGAGCAAGACAGAAGAGTGCAGACACTGAAAGAGAAAGACGCATAGAAATACTACAGCCTTTTCTCACCTCGTATTCCTTGTGTGCCTCCAACAGCAGAGCACCAGGGGCCATGGAAGCAATCTTAAAAATCTCCTCACAGGGCCCTGAAACACAAGAGAGCAAAAACCAATGTGAGATGACTGGTTAGCAAAGTAGAGTACAGTATGGCACAGTAATTAGTGAACTGGGAAATAAAACAGTAAAGCACAGGACTACTGCACAGTGCAAAACAATACAGCATGAGGTGACAGGACAGTACAAGACAGATGGGTTTGTGAACAATATCACAAGGCAGAGAGCAGTGTACTGTAACAGTAGGAAATTATGACATTGTTTGCTGGTTATCCGAGTGTCACTGCAGTTGTGTCAGAATGTGTCCTGACCTGGTACTTCTTGAAGCATCTCATGGTGTGTGCTGTTGATGATTCTGACGCCGTCCAGCTCTGGAATCAGAATCGAATCATCGTCCAAGTGATACCAGTGCCAACGGTCAAGGACAATGAAAGAGAATGCCGCAGCCCCAAAACATGCCTCAAAACTGTTGTTCTGACCAGCTAAGAGATTCAGGGAAGTACAGATACAAGTCAGACCTTTTGATAAATCATACATCATGACTCCACTCCGTTCATCATATCTAATTTTAATCTTCATTGAAGGCATATATCTCGTGCTATTCATCACACATGTTGAATTCTTCCTCAAATTACTGCCCAACCCCTCAATCCCTCAACAGGCCTACCCATCTAAATGCTTTTGGTGAGGATACTGGATGGTCTCATTACACTCTCCAGCCACCAGGAGCAGTCGGTCCCACATCACCACCACTGAAGGCTGCTGGCTCTTGGGCCGGCGACACCTGAGAAGAAAACGTGTTCTGTAAACACAACAACTGCCGGTAATGCCTGACATATCATCTCACACGCAAACACTTACCAGACCATCTGCTTAGGTGGGGTGCGCACCTTGGTGTCCACTTTGCTGAGCTTTTCCTGCAAGAGAAAACGCAGATCCTGAATCTGCCAAAGGAAGCCCCTCCCCGCAGCCCCACTGCTCAGCAATTTTCTCCACACCCCTTTCTCCAAAGAAGTTATTCCCTCTATTTAGAAATTCAAATAATATCTACTGCACCACTGTGTTTCTCATAGAGAAGTTCAGGGCTAGCACATACAATGTTAAAAGAACACACAACCACCTGATCGTGCCTTCCCAGACTCCAATCATGTCTGTAGCACATTCACACCAGTATGTGTAAGAGCTGTATACACTCTGCATACCCAATATGCACACTGTGCATTTGGCAACTTAAGAGAAAGCAGGTGTGTGTCCTGCATGGTCCCCCTCAACACTCACCTTGAGGTTGGAAGTGCCCATCCACACGTGCCCTGCGTCTGTGAACAAGGCCAGGTATTTATAGCTGAAGGAGATGGCCATCTGAATATAGCTGCTGACCTGGGGGTCAATGCCTGGGGGTGTCTACAAAGAACAAACATGCATTTAGCGTGACGGGTAACAATAGACACTACACTGTGATGGTTTGTATATATTTTAACGCGTATATGTGCACATCTCACCACAGCAGTGCAGGATGTGTTGTCCAGTATGTACAGGTCACTCCCACTGGCCAGCAGCACCTTGGTCTGTCTGTCCTGAGTTAGCACAGCCCAGCATGAGGGCGCCCCCTGTAGCCCTGCAGGGGACATAAAAAACATTGTCACTGTAATAGAAAGACATAGGAACTGGCTCACAGTCAGTCAGGATGTTGAGTGAAACCATTTGTGAACACACAGAAAAACTGATATCCAGAATGTCAGAAATGCAAGGCAGAAACATTCTGAGATACATACACAATGACAACAAAACAAGCAGGTGGACAGACAGGTTTAAATACACTTGAAAACAATGAGGCCAGTACCTGGGACCTCAGGCAAGCGACGCAGTTTGAGATCATCAATGTTGGTTGCCAGGGTAAACCTGAATGCTCCAGTCAGTATAGCTACCCCTGTCCCATAGGGTGAGTGGAAGACCTTAGCTTCAATCACATGGTTCTGAAGGACTTCCTATGAACAAGAAGATACAAAGCAAATCAGTGTTTGAGTCTCTTGGCTTGAACCACTGATTAATACTCCATGGCTCCGAGCTGTAAGCATAAGCCCAAACACCTCTGCCTTCACCACCTCCCTCTCTCTCTTCCAGGACTCTCAGCTCTAAACACTACACCTATAAGCTTTCTTTCTTAATAATTCACAAAATAGGTGTTTATCGATAAGAGCACATAGCAGATGAAAGCTCTGTGACTGTGCGGGGTACTTACATTGCCCATGCTGAAATGCCTCTTGAAGTCACCAAACAGGTCATACAGCAGAACAGAACCATCCTCCTGCACACACAACAGGTCATCGCTGACTGTCCAGCCCAGGGCCACGACTGTGCCACTCTTCCACTGAGAACAGAGATACAGACACTGTCAAACGCGTGTACAGCATTCTTCACAATCATACACCTTCACAGAAACACAGGTGCACTCCGCAGAAGAGCGTTACAGGGAAATAAAATGTACACAACAATTGCAGAACAAACAGTATGCCACTGTACAAAGGCAAAGTGTGTCCTGACTGCATACCAAGAAGCTGGCCAGGAGAGAGCCGGATGCAGAGTAGATCTCCAGCTGGGGCCGAGCAGTGGGAGAGCGCTTCTGGTGTCCCTTCAACAGGGCTGAGAGTGAGGTAGAGAGGGAGAGAGAACAATTTGGGGGTACAGTCTGAACAACCATGCCTTCACATTCTACTGTACATGCATGTTCAATGTGGACTGGAAATGCTTTCTTTAAATGCACTTCTGAATGTCTTTTATTATCTGGGTGAATCTGAAGACGTGATGAAGTGAGGTTCATCCTGAAGTCAATAATTGTTAGAGAAAGCCAGTCGCATATGGTGCTTTACCATAAATAAAAGCACATTTGGACTATTTTCACCATTTTATGTTCAATATCCCATTACCTTGTGCCTTTTGGCATGCAATGGACTTTCTGATATGATTGCTTTTGGAAGCATTTACTGCTGTGACCTTGCCATCCCAATAAAGCTGCTTTGAACTGAAGGCAGGAGAGAAAGAAAGTGAGGCAGCAATGGGGAAGATAAGATAAAGAAGTGGAGAGGCAGAGACAGATAGGGGATGCACAGAGAGACAGAAAGCAGACAAAAGGGGGAAGGAAGAGGGTGGGAGTGAAGGAAACTAAAAGAAAGATGTCTAAAATGCCCACCGATAGGACCCCCGTATGGCGCTGCGGCAATCAGACAGTCTTTTAGTCCCTCCTTTAGGTTCCAGCCCATCACATACAGCTCGATCTTCCTGTGACACCAGACAGAAAAGATCACATGCTTGCTAGGTGATTCATAGTTCACTGATATCACCAGCCATCTCAAAATCAAACAACACATACCAGCCATGACAAAAGTACAGCATGCACCTGGATGTCAGGAAGAAGCCATTATGTAATAGAAGACTGACTACATGGTGAGAAAGTACAAAAGTGCTTCAATAAGTGAATTAAGAGGGTCATTTCACAAGGCCAGGTTGTACTAGCTCAAAAAAGAATTTAGCCATACCACCAGAGTTAACAACCCTATTCTTACAACAGTGCCATGGGATCTGTAGTGACCAAGTAGCAACTCTTACAGCAACTGGAGATATATAATGGTACTCTGTCTTTAATTCTTAAATTCATGCAGTTTCACTCAATTTTACTTCTTTACTAGTTTATTTTCTCAGATTAATAATTCAACATTCAGTCTTAAACAAATTAGTAGGATTTACACTATTATCCACAGCATCCCTGGGTTACAGCACTATAACACAGAAAAATATGAAATACATGAAAAATACAGAAAATAGTAGAAAATACATAATTAAAATAAGCTTTAAAAAGCACTGTCCCCAGTCACTGTACTGGGGCATGGATTGGGGGATATTCCGAGATAACAGTGCCACCAACTGGTCATTGGAAGGCACAAGTAACTGCAATACTCGATAACACAGCGACAGATATGCTATGCTAATATGACACACAACAAAGCGACGACTGAATAGAACACAACAAGAACAAAGTCAGCACACACAAGCACTGCAGAATTGTATCTTGTAGTTAACCTTTGTGCATTATGCATATTGTGATGTTACGCAGCCGTACAGCGCGGTGATATCGGTACCATGAATGCGTTTTGAGAAAACTAGACTATTCAGAGCTTGTCCGAGTGGACAAGTTAAGGGTCAGAGGCACACATTCGCATCTCGGTCTTTCTGTCTATCCCTCCTTCTTCCTCACCTCTGCCATCGTCTTACTGTTAGTCAGTACGGATTTGGGATGCCCGGTTAAGTCTGCAATATTATATTATCCACGCAAACATTCAACGGTGCATTCAAGCAGAGAGCTACACACCAACAGCTACTTCACACCAATTATATCGATTTCTCCAGCTCGCTGAAATCAATGAACATTCCTCTTTTCAAAAAGAGGGGTTTGCATGATGTCTAGGTTTATTCATACTTTTCAGCTAATGGAATTACAGCTAATTCCACTACCAGCAATTAGCTGAGAATGAAAAAAAATCGAGAGTTCACGCTACTCCTAATATACACTTGTCATTATAACTGCCCGCACAGGCAAAGCGACCCTGACTATCACATGACCCCCCACCGCCCCGTCGGTGGTGTCCATCACAGCCCAAATCAGTGACTACACACCTGTAGAAGGCTTCGCCCAGAGGATTCCAGTTCGCGGTGACAAATGCCATTTTCTTCCCTTTACCTAGATCATGAGCAAAATGGGTTTTGGGTTATTCCTGCGAAGATGACCACCGGCATTAACGATATTCTATTACCAGCTTCTCTCTCTCTGCATCTTTATTTACTTCCTCTTACTGTTCTCTGCAGCTCATCTCGCTATCGCCACCTGTCGAGTGGAGGACGCAGTACACATGAGCACAAGGGTTGTATTAACCCGGCTGTACCAGCACGTTTCCGTACAGTATATAATCCAAGGCGCTCATCTGACCGTTTCTTGAAAGAAGCTGGGGTAGTCGCCCCAACAGCTCGACAACATGGCTCGGTAGTATGTTACCCTCAAGCTTGGCCTCTACTAAAGGCTTGCCTCCAGTTTTAAATTTGAATAAGGCTTCTTGTTTCCTTGAGTACAATTTGTGAAATACAGTACCATCTGACCCTAGGGATGTGTTGATCTTGAGAGCTTCGTGTACCCCAAGACACTTGTCTCTTCTATATGAACACTACAGTATGTAATATAGAACTTCGTCTTTCCCGTGCCTGAAGCACGTTGTTGACATAGTTGACATTGTTTAGTGAACATCTGATTGAAATACCCATGTAGTACATCACCATTTTCCTTTCATTGCAGTTTCCCATTATCATCCCAGATATATTTTACTTCATCCTTAATGGTTCTTTTGCTGTTGCAGTACTGAAATTACTTTTTCTTAGAAATTTCTATTGAAAAATAGGTCATTACATCTTCCCTTAATCTGGAAGCCACTGGAAGCAGATTGTTTCTATTAATTACTGTTTGTATTGTATGTGTGCATAATTTAGCAATAGTAGTTTTCTATCAGTGTTTTTCTAGAAACTCAAAATGCTGAGTAACATAATGCATGTCCATACTGTTTTTGATTCTGGTTTGCAGGGCAAAATGATGCAGATTGCTTGAAGATTTTTTTTTTTTGCAAAAACAAAGCACAATAGTCACAGTACTTGTGACACTAGACCAGATGTCAGAAGAGCACTAAAGCCTAGCAAATAAAGTTCTGTAATACTAAAATGATTTGTTTCTAATTTGAGTTCAAATGATTGGTTCAAATAGAAATGTAAATTATATTTAGACCTTGTTCCATCTTGTTTGAATGGAAGTGGTTTAGTGGTTCATTAACCTAGGAATTGAAACCTTTCTTCACAACTTCACATTTCTCGTCCTGTGCAAAAAGAGAGTCAGTATGAATCTAGACAGGAAGAACCTCTAGGGCTACAATCTGTTTGCACATACCCGCTGACACAAGAATCACCACGTTGTCCAACCAGGCTCCAGCTGTCTTCACACCCCACGAGCTGAAAGACAGAACGGAAAAGGAAGTGGTGTGGAAAAGATTGGATTAGATCGGAAAACCTTAATTATCCCAAATTTGGCAGTATTGCTTGTTAACCTTCACCAATAAAAAGAAATGGCACGCATAGAAGTACAGAAAAATACAATAAAGACAACATGAAATCCTATCATTACACATCATTACAATACTATAGTGACTGAAAGGGATGAGGAATGAAAGAATTGGTGGGGGGCAGAGAGACACTTTTAAATATAAGCTTAAATGGATCATCTCTTTTCTAAACTGGTCTTGTTTGTCAAAATGCTAAGTTTGTGGATTTAACCATGCCATTACATCCCCACACAGCCTGCCACCTCTCACAGAGCAAAGCCACCCCTAACTGTGCCATCCAGGCCTTTAGTTACCCCCTCTTACCACCCCTGCAGCTCCGGCCTTTTGACGAACAGCGGGGCAAAATCGTTACTCTCATCCATTATTGATGAGCTGCCAGTAATCCCCCTCCCCCTCCCCAGCTCTAGCAAATATTACCTTCTGCTGGGTGCACACACATTCCAGTGCCTCTGATCGGGGGGTGCATGTGATTGGGAAGCCTTCTCCTTTCCTAGAGATGCAGTGAGAGTCAGCCAACTCAGCCACTTACTCGGCTTGGCAGAGGCTGCCCGTCTTATCACACTCTCGTTTTTCCGTTTTTGTGGGCTATAGATCTCCGACATGCATTTTCATCAGCGCACAACCTGGACTCTCGGCACTACAAGACAGGTGAGTGAACTCTCAGTGTACACTATATGATCTGCTGCTTTGTGAAGCAAAAAATACGCTTTTGAAGGAATAGGAAGTTATCGTGATCAGTTACATTGAAGTGTGTCCAGTGGTACCCTTAATTGTTCATACTTGGGTGTATACTATATGGTTCTATAGTCTCTTAATACTATACATTCAATACTTTTAATATAGTGCTGGCTATTAAGTCTTTTGACCAACCTGTCTGCCTATTGATCACCAGCATAAATGATTTTCAATTAGGCTATAGAAAGCTTTCTAGAACAACTACTATTTTTCGTCAAAAATACACTGTACGTGGTTGTTATGTGTCAGTAGACCTATTGGCAGGTTGCATGCTTAACAGTGTTTTTTCCCTGGCTGGTAAGCCAGAGGTGTGTGCAGAGGGGTGAGATTTTCAGTCTAACAGTGTACAGTCAGTACTGTGTCTTGCACTCTGATCCAGTGCGTGTTGCACTCTCTCTGGGAGAAATTCATTTGTACTGCTCTCTTCTCTCAGGACATGTTTGCCGCACTGCTGCTCTTCGTCCTCCTCTCCCTCTGCCCGCCCCTGTGCCAGGCGTTCCCCCGGTGTTGCCGCACGCGCCAGTGTCACTGCCGTCTGCTGGATTTGCTGATGGGCCCCGGCAACCACGCCGCTGGCATCCTGACCCTGGGTCGACGCAGCGCGGGTACCATTGACTTCTACACGCCTCCCACACTGCCCAGCAGTGCACACAAGACCAATGTTGCGAACCCTCATGAGAGACATGCGGGTGTGCCTCTGGCTGGCAGGGTCTATACCAGGCAGACCCCATTTTTTACTGAAAACCCCCTCTCCCTAAGAGCCTCTGGGCATCACTCGAGTATTCTCATAAAGCCCAACGGAAATCATGGTCTTCTAACAAGCAAAGTATTAGATGACAGGCTACTAAAGAACCCCAGAAGCTATCAGGGCATATTTGTGACAAAGAATGATAAAACCAGCCTCACAACAACTCTCATTAAAGACCCCAGCCTTCTCTGGCAGCTGGCCCATGACTCCCTATCCAGGGATCACGCAGCAAAGCTCCAGGTGCCTCATCTCAGAATCCTGATTGTCCGCCAACACCACGCCAAAAACAGAGGAACAGAGAGTAAAGCTGGTGGCACCATGCTTACAGTGAGCTCTCTCAGCAGATGCCTTAACGTTGGGCTGGGAAGGGTAAGACAGAGGGAGGCAGGGGCATGGGATCTGGCTCTGCGGAGGCAAGGAGTGACAGGGCCCGTGTTCTTAAAGGCATGAGCAAGTGAAGTGGGCAGACTAGCTTCCATTTCTTTCTTCTGTCTTGTGGAGGCTGGGGTATGCCTACACCCCTGACAGCTGGTAAAGGCTTTGAAATAATGGGAATTATTCAAACTCCTGGTTTTACCTGGGTATACTGCAGGACCCTAAACGCTTCCCTTCACTTCTGCTAATATCCCAAACCTGGCCTGTGCTAACCACCTCTATGCTGCACCCTTGCTCAAACTACTGATCCAATTTAAACTGCTCTAGTTCCATTTAATGAAAAGGTGGAATGCTTCACTTTTGTTTAATTAAAAAAAAGTTATTTTTTTTAATTAAAAAACCTGAACCTTACTCATTGTGGATGTCACTTTACCTCAAACAAGCAAGCTCTCCTGCCTCTGCCTCTTTTTTCTCATTTTGGTGTTGCCTCCCTCAAACTGATTTGTCTAGTGTTCTGAGAAGTGGGACAGTACTGCCAGTTGCAGCCCTGAAGTGACCAGCAGGCCCAGTGCCAGAATAGTCCCAATGTATTCCCCTGCTGAGAGCCCTAATACTCTTCTCTCTGGTGCCAAAGGAGTTCTCCTCTACCCCCACCATTACAGAATAGCATGGTGTTACTTTCAAAGCAAAAAAGAAGCAAATTTTTATTGTATCTATAGTTCAGTATCTGATTTGTACTCTTTTTGTGATTCATTCAGTCTTTATAAATCATCTGGGGTAGTCCCCCTTGACAGTTATGGCTCTATTTGAGACTGATTTTATGTGTTTTTTTTCCAGACTGAGTAAAATAAAGACTTGGCCTGACAACAGGATTGTATGCTTCTTATTATTCTTATACAGTTGATGCTTTTTTCCAAAGGGACTTACACTTGAATACATTTATACAGCTGAACAGACACAAATGTGCACATAAAAACATGGCTGCATCTGGCAACATGATCTCATGCATCACCCAGAGCTTGATTCAGATAGTCATGGGTGACCATGTTTTTATATCTCCTCGTGGCTTTATTGTGCCAAACCTAAACCTCCCCTAAATCAAAATATGTGCACAGGACACAAAAAAAACCCTCCAAAACTGACATTCACTGTTTGTCCGGAAGAGAGAGAGGGCTGTTAGGAGTTGTAGTCCTATGGTCTTCTGCCATTCCATCTGCATCAGAGCCCTGTTCCTTAGGCACCTCTGATGGCTGGGGGTTAAAAGCACGGCTCTGTATGTGAAGCACCATCCGCCGGGCATAGAAGTCCCGATATTCTGGCGGCAACTCTTCCAGGGTCCGTAAAGCACGCTCTAACACTTGCATAGCCCGCGATGCCGCCACTGGGTCTTTGTTCCCATAGGGGTCGTTTTTGTCATAACACTCCGGCGGGAGGTGCCTCCAAAACACATTGACACCTACCCCAAATTCCAGAGCCAAGGTGTTGTGGAACCACAGAGCTGTAAGAGGGAGCAAGTGTCAAAAATTATATAGATATGAAACTGAAGATATGTTTGCAGTGAAGTTCATATTCCATGCAAAGGTGTGAGATGTTACTATTGACTGCACTCATCTGCCATCTGAACATCTCAGAGTTTTACCATGCAAGTATTTCTGCAGTGCCTCTGCAGGTTGTCCACCAAAAAGCAGCCTGGAATCAGTTCAGATGAGGTATTATCTCTCACACACACAAAGTTGTGTTTTTTCTAGCAGTTTAAGGTCACAACACATGTAGCAGAAGGGTAACTACAGCTAAAGTTATTCAAATATATGGTATTGGAATGTAGCCTGATTATGATTGCCAATTGTGTCAAAAACACTGCAGGGATAACGCACCCTACCAGACCCATGAGAATGTGGAGGACAGAGTCACTGTGCTGGTGGTTGAATCCCGTCATCTCAGTTTGTATTCTTTACAAGTAGAATCGATAAACATCAAAGCTCTGTTATACCAATCTCTCTTTTAGCCCCCATCACCTGTACTGGCAACTCCCCACAATGTTGAATTCAGTTTTCCGCCAATTCTAGAACAAGACAGCATTTCTTCTAAGGTCTTCTAACACAACCCCAGATCTAAACTATCTCCCCAGAGCCTCTGGCACTCAACAGACTTCAGTACCTGGGATGAACAGCAGGTCTCCTGGCTCCAGGATGCACTCGTGACGCTGCGCTTTCACAAATCCAGGATACCGGCCTAAATCAGGATTGTCAATGTCCAGAACTTCAGACTTGTCACCTTGGAGACAGACACACAGACAAAAGCACAGTAATAACCTTAGTGTTTATTACAGCATGTTACAGCATCACAATGAGGACCTCCACCCTCACCTGATAGGTAGAGGTGCTGTGCATCTCGGGGGCTGAAGAGAACAACACGCTTCCTCCCAGTGACTTGGGCCAGGAGGTTATCCATCACCTACAGAGCAGGAGGGAAAGAGACAGAAAGTGGACATAATGTGAGTGTGGGGACAGAAGAAGGGTCCCCCAGAGCAGACTGCCCAAAACATCAGATGTGCACCTCTGCTCTTAACTCCTCTACCATCCCTCTCTTGCCCTTTATCCTTTCCCCCCATCTTTCTGTTCTGCGTGTTCCACCATCCCTCTCTCACATCATAGTGTGTCCACAGCTGCAGCCCTCGGGAACTGATCCTGAATACACTTGAAAAGAATCGCTCTGCCTCAAAGAACTCTGGGATACAGAAGTCCTCTGCCAGGCCAGGGAACTGCTTCTGGATGTCAGCTGCTTCCTAGGAGAAAGACAGAGGAAAATAAAAGACAGAAAAACAGCAGGAGAGAGAGCAAAAGAAAAAAGAAACAGACAAAGGGAGAACTGTCAATGTAGTATGAACTGTCTGTCTGTCGAGAGCCCCCAACAACAGGAAAAATGAGTGTAGAGCAAATGGGAGAAAAAGAGTAAAATATGAAAAGCAAGGGGATGAAATGAGAGAACGAGACAGATGTTACAACACACAATCCTTGTAGCCATTCCAAGTAAAGGCACAGAGGAGGACAGACACTAACCCAGACTACTCACCCTGCGAGAGTCCTGTCCCAGTGATCGCAGGTAGTAGCTCTCCTCCTGTAAAGACAGAGACAGAGGTAGCCAGGGCCATTTTGAAAAATAACAGAGGGGTGTCTGGTTACTTTACAATGTAACTAAGTCCTATTTGCATAAGACTCATTATTTTAAAACTGTTACTTTTCAACACACATGCTTCTACTGGTGTTACCATCTCACCAGAAGCAGGCATGGTCTCCTGTCCCATTTGATAAAGAAACACTTCACTGACGTGACAGGGAACACAATACTTTGTGAATATTTGGGAGAGCAGAAGTAAAAAGGTAAGATGAAAGAAAGAAATGGAGGGAGAGACAAGTGGTAGGTGATTACAATAAGTGGGGTTTGGTGCCAGAATTAGCCCTACCCCCCGCCAATTAATCCCAATCACAGCGGCTTAGCCAGGTTAATTAGGTATGATTCAGTCCACTTGCTAAGCATTCACCTTTGTTAAAGAGAGATGAAAGACCACAAGCAGTCAGGGGGCATTGCCCTTTCCTATTGCTCCCCCCTGCTGGCAGGGCTACAGAGCTCTGAAAAACAGGACTGTCGGTAAACACACATGCACACAACACCACATCCACATCCACTCGTGCACCCTGATAGAATGGAGGGCTACTTCTGAACAAGGCTAAGGGGTTGCAGTGAGAATGAAGTGGTAAAAATATAGGGATAATTATAACAGCACATGAATGGTCCTGTTGCACTGGGACTTCAGAACTGTGAGAGTTTAGATAGATTAGATAGATTAACTACCAAACAGTCCATAGAGGCTGAATGGTCACCTCTCATCAATAAACGTTCTAATATTTCTATGAATGCTGGAGACCTACCTCAGAAATGAAGTACTCAGAGTGCCTCTCCTCTGCTGCTCTTTTGACAAACACTGAGAAGGGTAATGACCTGCAGGAGCACACGAATCATTGGCTGAACACCCTCACAGGCTCTGAATAACTCACACTGAGATCAGGGACAGAATCTTCTCAAGAGACCTCTGAGATGTGCTCTGTAGAAACTCAGTGGAATCTGATTATAAACAGTACAAGCGTAGCAGACTGGCCTAGGAGTCTACACTGCTGTCTGTGTGAGGCACTGTGCGGACCATGGCAGGAGGCTAAAACAGTTGATTTTGAAGTTAACGTACAGGTACTAAAAGTGGCACAACTTCATATAGCATGTGTCTCTTGGCGTTCACCTGTGACTGCTCTCTCAGAAATACTCTTGATGTTTTCTAACGTGCCTGTATATTCTGTGAAAAATGATTGTCTGCAGGTGTTAAAACGTCCATTTTGGTACTGCTATTCTGATTGTAATTTACAGTACATTTAGCAGGGGATTTTTGGTTTAATGCTATAAGTTGACATTGACAACATGACTAAAACACAAGTGAAGCAGTCCACCTATGCATGAAATGGAACTAGTGCAGTTTAAATTGGATCAGTAATTAGGGCAGAGGTGCAGCATAGAAGTGGTAAATAAGGTTTTTACTGGGTTATTTGTGAGAGTACTGGGAAATATAGGACTTTGTTATTTGCTGAAGTTCCCTCTGTGTTCTTGGGTCCTATAGAGGGTTCAGTATAGCCCCAATACCCTGATATTTCAAATGATGAGGTCTGCAGAAGCCTGCCAGCTGGGGATAGACAGCAATGTTACAGACTGGCCTCTGCACATCTATATGTGTGAGGCATTATGAGGATCAATATAGTTGTATACAATAACCAGATACCTGTACAGGAAATTCTTGCGTAAGAAATCCATCTGTGGCACAGCTGACACATGAATCTTCACTTCAGTAGTCCCTCCTTTTTCACTGAGGTAGTCCACAGTCCACCTTTCAGTGCAGGGCCCCAGGGATATACCTCTCAATACTGCAGGAGTCCTCTGGAAGACAATCACAGTACAGCAAAATCAACACATAGCATTAAAGGGACAAAAGGCTGTTTCTTAAAGCATTCCAGGAAGTCAGCTTCAACTAAATTGGGGTATTTTGTTTATAAAAAATACAATTCTTCGAGTAAACAAAGTCCCTGTAATGCAGAATTCTCACCACATTGTTGAGTTTGATGCATTGTGTCCTGGATTTACTTTATCAGTATTTCTGGGGTTTCAGAAGGTTTTCTTAGCTTTTATGTTCTACAATTTCACAATATATCAAAGCATCTAGACCCTGCATCAAGGCAACAACAAATCACAGTATAACTATTTTCCAGAAATTATTTGCTTCTATAGTTCTACTACCATAAAGACAGAATTGTGTTTTGCAGGTGTTTAAACAGTGCTGCTTGGGACTAATTATTTTTCTATTTCCTTTGTTGCTGTTGCAGCATTTCCTAATTTCCCTATTTTTTAAATTACATATAATTTTAAATTGAGTATATAAGTATATATACAGTACTAAAGGAAGACCAGTCAGTCTAAACAGTTCAGTATATCTAATATATAATATCCGAGGCTTCTTCCCTTTATGGCAAGACCGCCGATTTTAGTTACTTAGGCCGCTTTTTTATTAGGCTGACTATATCCACTCTTCAGAGCCAGAGATTAATATCAGAACCGTGTTGCTTTTGAGATTAGAGTGAATGCTACCACATGGTAATTATTTACTTCTCTTTTGCTTTATATCCCTGTAACATTTTTCATCCTCACATCTGTAAGAAGAGACAACATTCGAAAAGTTGTTGTTTTTTCCTTCCATAGTCTTATCAACGTCGAATTAACCTCTATTTGGTTCACTGCGTGTTTAAGATAGACTCTGGTGCCACATGAGCTGTTCCGTGACTGGTGCAGACCGGTAAGGGAATAAGTTGTTTCACTGTTTTTAAGTGCATGCTCGACAAGGATGAAGGTCGCGAAAACCTTCGATCGTTCCCCTTAACTATTATAAAGTGTGTCCAGCAACAGCTGTCATTGTTGCCGTTTACTGCTGATACCTCAATGTTAACCGACACCCACCACCTTAGTTTTGTACAGTGCTTTTCTTACCAAAGGGTAAATATCCTGCAGAAATCGATCCTTGTCAATGCCGGTGTATATGGGCACGGACACTTTCTCTTGACACTGACAGTCCATGAGCAAATATCACATCGACTAGCTACTGTCCCTGTGTAAGATTTCTGCTGGCGAAGTGTGGATAACTCTCGCCGGAGCGACCCATACCCAAAACCATAGATATCTGTGCTCACAGCATCACGATTGACATTTCACTTCGTTCCCACGTTTGACGTCCGCCCGAAACAAGGATTTGTCTGCATCATTACTTTGAAAAAATCTCTAGTATAACTCCTGATGGCGAAGTTAACGTACACGGCTGTGACCGTTTCACACTGATTATTTTATGTCATAGCTCTTTATGTTCATGTATGATCTGATTAATATTATATCTAACACTTTTACTTGAGAATAAGCTTTAAAAGCTTTAGTCCACAATTAAAGTGAAGCCTAAATCCATTGTCTAATGTAAGTTTGAACAAAGCCTTCCACAGGTGACGGGTTAAGAATATAAGCTTATATTTAGTGAAAAAAGATTTTGTAGAAAATGTTTCCAGACGGAGGATATAAGGAGTCGGACTGCGAGGGGCATAGGGGGAGGGATAAGATGGCGTTGCCCGTGATGCGAAGTTGGACGTATTGGGCCCCCGGGCAGCTGGTGTCTCTCTGCCGTCGTGGTATCGGCTGCGTGAAGCTGACCGCAATTTCAGCAGTCCACCCTCCACCTATCTTCCCGCATCGTCCTGCGACGCTCGTTAGCTGTAGGCTGTTCAGCTCAGAGCGGGAAGGCCCGTCGCACAGGCCAAATAAGAAGGTGTTAGTGGTCGGTATCCCGAACCCGTTCATATGGTTCCGAACTCGTATTTACTACTTTCTGATCCGGGCGTACTTTGACAAGGAATTCAACATACACGAGTTCACGGACGGAGCCAAGCAGGTAGGAGCTGGTCCCAATTGTGAATTCTGGAAGTCGGTGACAGGTTGTTAACCAGTGGTCCTTACAAACTGCCCTGTTTGTCTCCAGAAACAAAGCTGCAGTTTCATTTCAGCGAGTAACATCAGCGATACTGCACATCTCTCTGACGGTGACCATGCTTGATTTGTTCCCCAGCAGTTTTGTTGGTAATAGTTAAGATCACTTTATTGTCCATAAACAATTCTTGTATTAGGAATTTGTCTTTTTGCATACCCTAGCTTGCTCTCCATGAGACACACAGACAGGGAGAGAAACTTGAAGTCAGATTGCAGGGTCAGCCCTTTATACAGTGCCACTGGAGCAGCTGGGGTTAAGGGCCTTATTCAAGGGTCCAATGGAGTAGAATTCGTCTGCCGGCCACAGGATACGAACCGGCAACCTTCCAGCCACAGGTGCAGATCCTTAGCCACAGAGCCATCGCTCCACCACTAGCCTTATGTACAGTATAGTTGTAGTTTTCAGTTGAGTTTTTCTTTTTTAACTAGAGATTCTTATTGAATGAGATATAGGGAGAAGGGGTTGTTCAGTTGGAAAATCCTGAAAACCTCTGAGCTGGAAGATGGGGCCTTGCTGTTGAAATACAGCAGTCTGGGCTGTGGGATATGTTTGTTGGTCTGTCTGGTATTGTTTCATTGTTTTTCTAGGCATTTTCCCATGTCTCCAGGCTTCTGTCCCACTGTAAGTTTGATGCCCTGGAAGGATTGGTGGCAAGGGATGTAAGTATCTGTTCTCTCATGCAGTTTTCCTGAAATAAATTGGATCTAAAAATTGCTTCCTTTAAATGCTGTGCACCCTGCCAATTTCATGTTATTATTAATATTGCAGATAATGCTTTGTTAATATAAAATTTTAATGTACAATTTAAATAGCCAGATTCACGTGCTGATGTTAGCTGTGTCTATATTCCCAATCAGTTGTTGGAAAAGCTGCAAGACAAGTGCTCCCTCCTCCCTCTGAGCCACAAGCAGGCACTGGCTGCAGAACCTGATGACATCATGTACCTCACCCCTGGAGACGTTGGCATTTACTATGATGACAATGGTGAGTGGAGTCCTCTAGTGGAGGTGGCTGGTAGTGCAGCAAACCCTCACAGACCTCTTTCTAGTTTCAAGGTGTACTGTGACACTTTCCAGTATTTATAGGTACTGATTTATCTTGTCTATGCAGCACATTTCCATTTAAGATAGATCTACACTTGTTTCAAACAAATTGGCATATTATACATTTCTGTCTAGCACCTGCTGAGTCCATACTAATGCAGTCATTGTCAGTAGTGCCATTAAATAGATCAGTTATTTTGCAGATATATTACATGCAAATGAAGTAGTAGACTGCTAAACCAAAGGAATAAAATATAGCGTGTCAAGTCTGAGATGGTAGTCAGTTTATGAGTGGACAGTCCAGTTCAGGAGCACATTCCGATTGTTGTGCAAAATGTGCCCTGGCTTGGGTCACCCGTTTTAGACAGATCACGCAAACATTCACTTGCATTGTTACAGCTGCTCCTATTTCCTTCCAGCTCCCAAAGCCATTCCGGTTAAATCTGACTAGTTTTCCTGCTGGGTTTCAATGGTATTTTATACTGCGGGTGTTTCCTGTGCAACCAGTGGGCTGAATGGTCTCTTACTTGTTCTCTGATCAGTATCAGCTATCCTATGGCTTCTGTTTTGGAAGAATGTGTTAGGAAATGCTTTATGTGTGCCACTACTTTCTATCTAAAAGCAATCCAATCAAGACTTCTGGTTATATCCATAGTACCCTGATTTTCTCCTTCTTCCAGGGCGAAAGTTTGTCAGTATCCTGATGCGATTCTGGTACCTGACAAATGCTCGGCTGCCCGAGGAGACTCCGGAGGGAACCCGTGTCTTCCAGGTGGCCTTTGGGGAAGAAGGCGGGCAAGAGACAAAGCAATTGCTCACAGCCAATTATGAGTGAGTATAGCAAGGGGAAAGGTGTGTGTAGAAGGGAGGGGCTCATGTATATGAGATGTGGGATTTTGTATTGAAGGGTGAATCTTGACCATGCCTGGATTGTGGTTGAAAGACGACATCTCTTCAAACCAGAGCATGTGATTGGCAGGGCATTGTTATAATGAAAATCAGCTTTTTATTTGTATTATCTGTCATTCACTGTGTGTGTGTGTCTGGCAGGTTCCAGAGGGAATTCACTCAGGGAGTGCAGCCTGACTGGACCATCACAAGGATAGAGCACTCCAAACTACTGGACTGAATGATGCAGTGAGAGGGCCCCAAAAAAGGTTGGGGATATCTCTGCATCTCTAACATAAACAGTTGCCATGGGGCCCTACACTGCAATACATCCCAGTGCTGTGTTTCTAATGGGGTAGCCACTTTTCAACAAGTGGCCCCCGTCCAGAGCCAAGAGTCGCTTCCTCTATTCAACAATGGATCAGGCCTTGGCTGCTTACTGCTGGAGGAGACAGTGTTCTGTGCTGCTGCATCTGCAACCTCTTTCCACTAGCTTTAACTTTATTCCCCACATTCCTCACCTGTGAGGGTTTGGGAACACCGGAAAGGGTCTGGGGGTTGTACTGCTAGGTTACGGTCATCTGTCCTACTTAAGAAACTGACACTGGCCTCTTCAGGCAGATTTCAACCGGTTAAGTTACAGTTATTACATTGTTCTGGTTTAGCAGAAGATAAATGGATAATGTTAAACACTGCTTTTCGATGGACTCTGGTATCTGAGCAGTACAGGCCAGCATTTACTTTAGAGCAAATTTCATGCTCCCAACCACAACTGAAACAATTGCAGAGGGCTAGGTTGGGAAATAGGGAAATATTGTACATTATGTGGACAGGTGCCTCCGCCATTAGTTTGTTTATATTTTTCACTATACTGGATAATTGTTTCAACAATTTTATGGAAATTATGGTACTTTTTAAAATGTCCATTATAATTAGTATTTATATCCCTAAAGTATCATGTAAATGCAGTGTTTGGAAGTTTGGTGGGGTTTTCTTGAGTTAGTCAATCAGACTGCACTACACTACCGTAGCACCTTCCTTCTTCTCGTAGCTGGAGGCAGCAGTTTCAGGACCGCTGATGGGGGGGAGGAATGAAACAGTGCAAATTCCCAACTGAAGTGTAAAATATACATGCAGATTGTCTGAAATAAACTTCTTTTGACTTACACATCTGATGGAGTCTGAATATGGTATAGGCAGAGCTGGTTTTCCATAGCTGGCAGGACATTTCCAAATGAGAAACTACAGGTAGTCCTCATCAGGGCTCTGACAAGTCCCTGGGGACTGGGGAAAGTGGTCAGGGACCAAGGTTTGGCTAAGGATAAAGGTGAGCAATAGGAACACAACTGGGTCATAGTTTGGGGTGTGGATTTGAGTTCGCGTGATGGGTGGGATTTGGATTAATACTAAATTGAGGTGGGGCGTTTGAATTAGGAGTAAAACTAATTTTATGGCTGGAGACAAGAAATTGCTTGGAGCCATAGGGTTTGAGTTCTAGTAAAAGGTTAGGATGTAGGGGTTAGGGGCACAGTTTTCAGTTGTGCTCATAGAACAAAGTCTTCTTTGTAAGATGAGAGTCAGTGATGCTAGTAATTGGTCCCAGAATAATCTGAAGCCCCGAGGAGGGCCTGTAGTAGATTGTTCTCTGCTGTCCCCAGTGGTCAGTGACTTGTTTGCCACTCTTTATCTGGAACTGTACAGAGACCCCTGCTGCGTGAATGGACAGGAGGGCCAGTTGCTCCTGTGACAATAACAAATATGCAGTAGGTACACACAAACATGAATTATTTAATCTTTGTATTGATTTTTTTTAATGTCCAATTCCAAATGACAGAGCTGTAAAGGACACTCTAATGGTTGGTGTTTAATTTTTAATATACACTGAAGAAAAACATTTTCTAGTTAAATTTGGAGACTATTCTTTGAACAAAGATTTGAATAAATGTCTTCTTTTGTATAATGCATCTATTAAAATAAACTTGAGTTTCTTGTTTGCTGTGCTTTCTGAATTTGACCAAGTTATTTCCTTTATAGTCCCAGATGAAAAATGTGCTTTGTGGGCAGATAAAATACATAATGCAATACATTTAACACAATAAGAACACATAAGAAACATACATGTATGATGAACAGTATTGTAAAATTACAATCAATTGTCCAAAGTAAGGATTTGGTTTAATTTTCTTACTTCTAATGGAAATGTGTATTGTACATTATATTCTAGATACAATATCTCAATGATAAAACATACAGAATTACCTGGCATGTAGTTAATTTTATACAAAGGAACAAGTAAAGGTTTATTCCATGCTGAGAAGAGAGAAAACACAACGTTTCAGCTGTGAAACCTTTAGGTGTGAGAGGTGTTAATTTTATACTCTTGACTGACTTCTACAGTGGAATTAGAATTAGACTTGTGTGTCGCTTATTTCCCCCTTTATGATATTTACACAAGCTAAATAATCACAATTAGCTCGTACGCAGAGTGCTAGGAAAAGCCAGTCAGACATTAAACTGCACAGCAATGCCAACAGGTGTTAAGTTTCGCTGCCGACCTCAAGAACATGGCCTATGTCTCTAGACAGCTTCTCCACGCTGTCGGAGTTAGATGACATCACACACCTGAGGAAAACCCGCCTTTTTGTAGTTTTCTTCTATTGGCTTTTGATCGGGACTTCCCCGTATGGTATTGGAGGCCAGTAAAGGCAATCCGCTGATGTCATGGAGGGTGTTTGCCGGTGTTGCAGTGTGCATTCCAATGGGCAAATGATGTCAACAGTTGACGTTAGGGAAGCGAGAAAAATAAAGACCGAGTAGAAGAAAGAGGGGAGAAAATAATATTGAAAAAGAAAACTAGCGAAAAGGAAATGAGATTCGTCGCAGTGGCCTTCTATGGCTGTCTTCTGGCACTGCTCGCTGTGGGACTCCGCGACCTGCTGTTGGGATACGAGGAGAACAGATGCAGCATGACCTACATGTTCGAGTATCCCGAGTACCTGGTGAGTCCTGGGAGACACGGGGCGATTGTTTCCATGGTGACCTCGGGCTGGGGCGGCTGCTCTTCACTCTGCCCGGGAGTCGGGTACAGAGAGCACGCTTAATCCACGGACTGTGCTCACAGTGTTGCTATCTGCTCATACTAGTGACATGCTCCTGCTGAATGACAACAGGCGATTCCATCATGTGTGAGAAGCTTGTTCCGTGTCAGTTTCCCTCTTTTTATCGTACTGATCGACCACACCCTGCTTGTGGTTGCTATGTACTGTACCGTGTACGTACTGTATAACAATTCTCCCACCATGTAGCACCTGGAAATCCAGATTCAAATTTTGAATGAGCCTCACGTTGTTGCACGTAGCGTTTTGAGGAAGCAATAAAACTAGAATTTTAACTGCAAACGCCCGCCTCTGCAAATCTATTTTAAATACGGTCTCACTGGAATTGTATGTGTTCTTCTGTAATGTAAATGACTGTAGTTTGCAGACAGTAAAATATATCAAACTTTTAAATCTTATCTTTCCCCCTGATACTTATCCATCTCATCATGTATTGTATTACATTCATGCAGCAGGAGAAGATTTAATGCAAGGTAAAAGCATCCTACTTTAACAGAATTCTTACTCAACTGCAGCAGGTTTAGCAAGAGAATTTAGAAAAGAATGAGGAAGATGTACTGTAAATTCTGAATAGGTCAGAACACATAAGAAACATACATGTATGATGAACAGTATTGTAAAATTATTTCTCCCTTCAGTGAAAAAAAAGATAAGGGAAGGCACTGTAGTTATCTCCTTCTTTCATAACAGAATTATATTATTATTGGATAAATAATACCTTTTAAAAATATGATTTTGACTCAAACCTCTTTTGTAAGAAAATCGAAAGCTTGGAAGTGCATCTTCATTTTACAAGTACTTTTAACCAAAAATAAATTGCACAGAGCTGGTGAGAGGTGTTGGGTGTGTGGCACTAATGTTTCCCAAGACTGCCCTTCTGTTTCTTCCTTGAGATTGAGATGAAATGGGCCAGCATGATCCATGATTCCAGGAGATACTTATTTTGAGTCATGGGGGGATTTTCTGAGTTTCTGAGATGTCTGTCCTTTTTTATGCCTCTTTAGAGTTTGAAAAAGTGCACTTCTAGCCAGGCTTTTCTAGCCAAAGTATGAAAGACAAAAAGTTATTTTAAGCATGGCAGAAGCATGAAAAAAGTAACAGGTTTATTTGAAGTTGAAACTGTTTTTGTCCCGTAACTAAATGTGGGCAGAGAATACAATGCAATAGTAGTTTTCTTTCCTGAAAAGGTGATGTAACTTGAAATTATTGATTCATCTGGAGTGTTATAATATAGAAGCCTTCATTTATTCCCTGATCCCCTTCAGCACTCACCTAGTGTGGGAAGTTCACATGTATCTGGGTTCACAGATCTAGATTCTTCTTGGAAGGTGATTAGACAATTAATGCTTTGAGACTGAGATTATCCTCCGCCTGTCTCTCCTCTGAACTGTCCACAGGAAGGGGGTGGAGTGATGATAGAATGGGTTTCTTTGATTTATACCCCCTCCAGGCATCTTATTCAGGCATCTTATCATTCTTTCTGTCCATATGTCTGTAGACTTCAGCAAAACGTCATATGGTCCTTACTCAAGTGTAACATGAATCATTTAAATGTTAGTTTATGGTTATAGGTGTATAAGGTTTTTGATTTTTTTAAATGTATTCAAGCTAAGAATAGTAAGTGTAAGACATTTGAACATTTTGAACAACAAAATCTACTTGCTTGTCATATCAGCACTATGGACTGAAGGTGACTGCATTAGACCGAAAAATACATACAGTACAAAACTGCAGTTACAGTAGACCAGGGGTGCCCAATCTTGATCGTGGAGGCGCTCCATTACACAACTGAACCCTAGCTTTGACTTCATTATTGGATTAATTTGAACTGTTGGTTTTTCAGCTCTCAAACATGTTGGAGGCTGCTTTTTGTAAGGAAGCAAATCCTAAACTTTTAAATGAATAGAAAGAAACTTGTAAATGTTCCATTGAAGCAACTTGTTGGTTCAGGAACAGGTAAAGGTTTATTCCGTGCTGAAAAGAAAAGAGACACAATATTTCAGCTGCGGAGCATTCTTTAGGTGTAAAACGCTGCGTCTCTTTTCAACATGGAATAAACCTTTACTTGTTCCTTTGCAGCCTATGCATGCTGACCTATGCATGCTACCTTATTGAGCTTCTTGTTTGTTCAGTTCAGGTTTCAATTAAATAATGAAACTGGAATGAAAATCAGTAGGTACAGTACGTGAGCCTTCTGGATAGGGCACTGCTACTGTGTTAGCCTAAAAGATATCTTGGACAGAGTTTCTAAGTTTCATTCTAGTTCGGCTTTCAGGAGCTCATTGGCTCATTTTCTAGCTCAATTAACCCACGTGAACAGACTCTACAGACCCTGGTTGTGGACAGCTGTAAAACGGACTGCACTGGGGTTTTGTTGGGTCAGTGGAGTACTGTGTGACCTCTGGCACTATCTTGAGAGACCGAGAAACCAATAATCCTGTCCTGTCTCAACATGGCCCTTTCCCACCTTGTCCTGGAGAATGATAACATTCAGAAAATGTGCTAAATCTGTTTGTCACCATTCTGTTTTGTTTCATGAATTGTAACATGCATGCATTTATTTGATTGTTGTCGTCTGCTGGAAATGAGAACCAGAGAATATCTGTATGAATGTGAGGACATTGCACAGTTTCAATTAAAATTAAGAAGTCATGTAAGAGCAACCACGTGCACACCAAAAAAAGCAGATTTAAAGATTAAAATGTGGATTTTGTAACAGGCTGGTGTAACAAAGATAAACAGTGTTTTTTAAGTAATAATGCAGTGATATCACAGAAAAAACGTTTGTGTCTGCTGAATATTCTAGTTCACTTTAGTTAAGCTCGGGTTTCAAAAGCTGTCCTGTCTCTCAGAGATGTAGAGCGAGGAGTGTGTTCAAGGTGGATTACTTCTGTACTCCATTTTTATAATCAATCAATAATTTATTAACTAATATGTGTATAATTTAGCCCATACAGCATCTTCCCAATGTTGAATCCCATGTCTAACAGACAAAGCAAGGGAAAGGGACAGAGACAGGGAGGCAGAAAGAAAAAGGATGGCTGGTTTGTCTATGTGGCTCAGTGGAGCAACTGAAGTTACTGCTGCCTCTCCAGCAAGACCCTTTGTTTTTGACAGTACTGTTAGTAATTGATAGATGAGTAGACTGCAATTGAAAGCCTTCTTCCAAGAGCAAACAGTGAAACAGAAATAAATATTAAAGATTTTAACTAGTTGCAAAACAGCTACTAGACTACACAGAACCTGTGTTTTTAACTTTCTTTTTATTGACAGGTAATTTGTGGTTGAATTTAAAGCTAGTAATCTTATACATGAAAAGGCCATTTTTTTCCCTAGCCATGCAGATGATTGAGAAAGAGAGGTGCCAGAGACTGAAGGATACGTGCTGGTGCCTGAGGGAGAGAGAGAGAGATTTTTAAGACAGCTCTGTCAAGCTCTGTGAGGAGGGTACAGTGTGCGTTAACTCCCCTCCGTGATGAGATCTATAGACGGTTCGTCGGCACAGCTCCCCTTCACTCCTCTCCATCAGTCTCTCCCTCTTTGTGTCTGTGATTTATGCAAAATGCAATAATGGATCTAGGGTGGTGGGGAGGATAGCCAGATAAGTGAATACCAATGAAAATATATGTTTGGGTTCCAGGGCTGCAGGATCTTTGGGGTGCTCTGCTCCCCAAATTGTCTGTGTCTCATGATCTCGGCTGCTCTGGCCAAAGTGCTATCTGCTGTTAGACTAGACTAGACGTGTCTTGCTGTTTGTCCACTGTTTGAGCTAATGGTGCCAACTGTTTTCAATCGCCTGTGTATGTGTGCTGTCACTGTAGCGGATTCAGCTGCCACACCGTGTGTCACAGAGGTATCCAGGCTATGGGCTCTACCTGTACGGGGAGGGGCTGTATGCCCAGCACAGCCACAGCCTGAAGCTCAGCGGCGTGCCTGTGCTTTTCCTTCCCGGAAATGCAGGCAGCTACAAGCAAGGTGAGGACCATCCCCTGTTGCTGTGCGAATTTATCTGTAGTTCCTAGGGATTTCAAATGACAGAAGGCTGTTTGGAAATATAGGTACCAAAAAACAAGTCATAAACATGCATTTGACCAGCAAAAAGCTCTATTTTCTACTTGAGCGAAAATTCCATTTTTGTTCTGCAAATACACATCAGATGCCAGTATCCAAGCCCCATTCATTCTATGATGAATGCCATCATTAGAACAAGATGTTTTTAACATTATTCATTTTGTGTTCATATCCTACTGTGGGTTCAAATCATGCTGTAGATTTTGATGAAAGACTTAATAAAATGTTTTATTTTTCAGGTAGGTCATTTTTTATTCCTAAATTAAGTGTAAGCTAATTTGGATTGAGACTGATGTTTTTTCAAGTGGTCAATACGATTATGTAAACATCAGTTGGTATGAGCAATTTAATGCAGACATTCAATAAAATATTGAGGCTCCTTGCAGCACTTCTATTTCACGTTTCTTTACTGACTACTGGGCAATCAGTGACTGAGCCTCGTTTGATTTTCTTAGTGATTGACTCAAGTGTCAGTGTGCACACCATGCTGTGTCTTCTAAATATTCCTCTACGTTAAAATCCTTTGTCATTTTTTTTATTCAACATTAACAAACAAATCCAGCCATTATATCAAAATGCTTAATAAAGACAACAGAAGATTGGTAGTGACCTGAGATAAATCTAAGGAAGATCTAAGTGCTGTTGAGTCCCTAGACCCCAGCAGAGGCGCTGTGTGTGTTCATGCTGCAGAAGTACACATCAGTCTGTCTCTAGAAATGAATTGTCCTCTTCCAGCAACAGCAGTGCTTTTAAGTCATGTCATTACGGTTAATATCTCTGGCCCTCTCCCCTGTCCCTCTCCAGCCCGGTCCCTCGGTTCTATCGCCCTCCGGAAAGCTGAGGACATCGACAACGGGTTCCACCTGAATGTGTTCACCATCGACTTCAGCGAGGAGCTGGTGGCTCTGTACGGCGGCAGCCTGCAGAGGCAGACGCGCTTTGTCCACGAGAGCATCAAGGCCATTCTTCGGCTGTACAAAGTGTGTGCGAGAAAATAAGTGGACTGACTACAAGGAGTATCTATACCAGTATGGAGATACACACAACAAATATGTCATGAGTAATTCCTGTATGTGGTAGTACAGCAGCATATATTTATCTGCACTATAAATATATGAGATACGATACATGAGGTTAGAGATGCTGTATAATTACATGCGTCTCATTGGTTGTTTTCCGTAAATGACTGATATAATGTAAAACTCACCTGTGAATTGTTTCCACCCTCTCCTCCAGGACCAGGAAACCCCCCCACGCAGCGTGGCTGTGGTAGGGCACTCTATGGGGGGCATCGTGGCACGTGCCCTCTTCACGCTTCCCAAATTCAGTCCTCACCTTGTCAGCCTCATCCTCACTCAAGCCAGTCCGCACCAGGGCCCAGTCCTGCCCCTGGACCGCCACCTCCTGGGTGAGACACCAGCTCACCCTGCTGTGTGACATTGTGCCCGTCTCTCTCCGTCCCCCTTTCAGCCTCTTCCTCTCTCTTCCTTGGGATCCAGAGTTCTATTCCGCTGTCCGGCGTCGCTGGTCTTTGGGGACAGGGGATTTGCGCAACGTGACTGTGCTGTCCGTGGGGGGTGGCTACCGGGACTATCAGGTGCGCTCTGGCCTGACTGCTCTGCCTTGCCCTCCTAACGATCCTAACAAGCTCTCACTGGTGGTAAGACACTGTTCCTGATCTCATTCTGCTGCCTTACAAAATACAAGCCCAAAACAGCAGCCATGTGCTCAAAGCCACACTCTTTAATCACAAGCAACATGACCTGGACGCTTTCTGGTCTCTGCTTAAGAACAATTACAAACTAAACCAGACCTTTCACCCATTTGGCAAATAGTAGCTAACTGGTCATAGGATTTCATCCATCTGCTTTTTGAGAGAAGTCAGGGTATTGGCTGCAGTAGCGAGATTTGCATAGTCCTTCGGGTAAAGAAATGACTTCTGTTTTGTTTTGAATATACTTTCAGTTATTTTCCACATACTGTATGTCCTCTAGTTCCAGAGCAGCAATATTTTCTCCTATAACATTGTGATGAAAAATGTACACCATATTCTAAATGAGGTATTACCACGGCATCATTCAGTTTTAAAATTGTACTCTTTTGCTCTGCAATCCTCCTGAAAAGATTCCATTGCACATGTATAAAACTTCAGTTGAATTCTCAGTTCACCTGTTGTTTCTTGTGGCAGAGCACGTGGTTGGACAAATACAGATCTTAGTGTTGAGGTAGTGGATTCATAATACAATGTACACTATGTACAGTAAATTTGTGAATGCCAGATACGGGCAGTGCGATAAGCCCCCCAAAGACTGTGCAGCTTGAGAGACCCAACCTGGGGCATTTCCACCTTTGTGTCTTATTTTATTGAAACATTTTATGACCAGCTCATGCCACTAAGCCTTTTAGAGCTCTTTATTCTTCGCAAAGTGATTTTTTCAAATGACTTTTGAAAGTTGCCAGTGTAACGGCCACCACAGGGTAGGCTTGGGCAGTTAATAATCTGCAAAAATGTAATAGTCTAAACAGGCTTCTTATTTTAGTGTTGTATCAGCATCTACTTGCTTGTCTCCTTGCTCAACCTTTTTGGAAATATTAACCGAGGCAACTGTTAATTAATCCTTTTAACATTTTAAAAAGCTTTAATCATACTTTTTTTTAGCTGTTATATACCAGATTAATCAGTCTATCCTGGACTGATTCTGGTTCTGGACTTACTTGAAAATATCTATAAACAGTATGTCTTTGTTGTGACTGTTTCTCTCTGTGTTGGACAGAGCACTGCTGTGCCCAGGACCTGGGTATCGACTGACCATTTGTCTATCGTGTGGTAGGTATGCATATGTTGTAGATTGACACTGCACAGAGACCCACAGGTGTAGTTTTAGGTTTTATTTTACTGAAGATATTTTTCAGTAGTTTGCATGACAATTTACATTGCTACATACTGTAAACAAAATCAAAGGTACAAAATATATGCGTAGTATAGAGCATATGTCTGAAAGCATGAAAATTACAAGCACGAAGATTCTTCTTGGTGTATGCTGTTGGTGTAAGTGTAGGAACTTATGTGGCAGAGCCAGTGCAAAAAGCAGAGTCTTCTGCACTGTCATTAATCAGCAGTCTCTTTTTCAAATCCTGCTTTGTGCCAGAGCAGTCAATGTTTTCATTTTTGGAAATCCAGACTCTGCACAAATTTTCGCCTTCAGTTATAAAAGTATTTTCTGTGTGGAAGTTGTTCAGGTTATTTTTTTATATATATAAAGGGTGTCTTAACATAATAGATTTATCTATAATATATTATAATTATTATAATAAAGCTTTCGTGTATTTGTTAGGATCTCCATGGTTGAACTTGTCTT